CCAGCCCGTTCCTCCGTTTCGTGACAGAACGGGTTCCATTTTTAATCGGCGGACCGTCGCTGGGGCCTCCCTTGTGCACACCAACGCGTCGCACCGTGTGTTCGAACTGGGGGTGCCTCGAACAACCATCGAAACTGCACGAGACCCACTAGCGTGCACAGAGAGACAGAAGGCAGCAAAGGGAAAGCGAGGATCAATGCACGAGATGCTGTCTCGGGTCCGATCAGTGGACTCGCTCCAATCATCTGGCAGGACTGCTCGTAATAGCCAGGAACCAGCAAGAGTCTCATCGAAGTGATTGTCCTGGTGACAGGTTCCGTTGTGTGTCGCGTGCTCCCGAGGCTAAAGGAGATCATCCGGGCTACACATTCGCCGATCAATTTAGGGGAACCAAGGTTCACACTCGATCGATCACGGAAGCAAAGCACGTTCGGTCAACGATCGTGCGATCCTCGATTAAACGGCTAGGAAATAGGTTAACGGTCAAGGAGGAGGCATCGTTGTCGATTTTCGTCGCGGAACGTCGATTTTCATCCGTGGCTCGGACACGCGTGCCAGCGTGAGATTCAACGAGGATGACCATCGGCGCCCGATGCTCCGATTGCATGTGCAGCTCATTACGTAACCGGTCCACGGCGATGGAAAACACATCAGGGGAGTGCGTCGCCGAGGGGTCGATAAAAATAAGGGCAAAGGTTGCTTCTTAACGGGCGTTGTTAGTGTATTTGCGGCCGACGATAAATCAATGGATCAGTGTCCGAGGTGTGATTAGCATAGCTCCGCGTGCACTTTGTATCCCGAGCGTGTCGAAGCTGGGATATCTTCTGTTCTTTTCGGTTTTTAATCGTTCTCGTTGAGAGACAAGTGAAAACGTCTTACCTCTCAGGGATGATGCGATGTTCCATGCCGAATACGTGCACGTTGCATCTAATGTGATGATATCGGATCAGTGAGAATACAGTGGCACGAACAGTTCGGGCGAATGAGAGTAATTCACCGTGGTAACAACGAAGTCGGGCCTCGATCGAGTTTCCACGGATTCTGTGACAATTGCCGAACGGGTTTCTTTCTGGAAGATCGGAAATCATAGAGACACAAACTGCAAGCGGCAAGAGGAGGCAAAGCCTCCCGCCGCAGAACCAACGTCGTAAGTATAATCAGATTATAGAGAGAACTTTATGCATTTTGTGGTAGATTTGATCAGTTAAAAATGTGATTATTAATCGAAAGTGAGGGCCATAACAAGTAGGTTTTGTGCTGTCTTCAACTTTAAATAAAATTCTGCATCTTTAATACCCTAAAAATGATGGTACAAGTGTTAATAAAGAGAAGATTCGTTGTAACTAAGTTTACAAATAAAAATAAGAATATTCAATCCTAATCTAATTATAACTGTACATTTCGTAGAGTAACAAATATTTTTGGTGGACACACATCACAACAAATTAAATTATCAAAAATGCGATGGGACTGATACATCACCAATACTCACAATCAGTAGGTTAAAAAATGAGAACGACTTCATAAAATGCATTCACTGCTGAATGTCATAGTACTCTTTGCATAATAACCAAACAAAGATAAGGACGAAAAAAGCCAACATTTATAAATTTCAAAATAAAATAAAAATGTATATTTCCCTGCATTTTTTTAAACACATTCCAAATGCTCGATTTGGTTAAATCTTCAACTTTTCACACTGACTTATTGATTTTTTAATAAAAGTAACATTCGCAGTCTATGTTAACTTTCAATCGTTTCAATTATACGAAACAGATAAAACACCAAACATTCAGGTTATAAATTAACTTTATACTCATTACATAAATCTGCGATTCCGAATTCAAATATACAAGTACTTTAAGCCTTCATCAAAACTTGATGTTCATAACCAAAGTATAAAGTAATTATATAATTCAGTACGGAAGGAAATATTAATATTTTATAGTTCATATCGTGCAAGGGCGCAATTTAACGACTTTATTCGCAATAACTTAAAGCTCTAAAACTTTTGTGATCACTTCATGGACCCCCGGGACACCGGGAACGTCCTCAACATCTGTGGCTCGATAGTTGATCCAATGGATTCCAATAAGTTGATAGATATTTCTATTCGGTCCTGCGAAACGGATTATTATTCTCATTAATTCTATTACAACAAACTTACCAACACTTGCATCGAAATTAACGAGTCTTGTGATTGACCTTATTAAGTTATACTAGTTCGGAATTACGTCTATTGAATTCCTCAAGTCCGGAGTCGCCATCGAGGCCCAGAAGGCTAGAGATGTTTATCGGATTTCTCGAGTCCGTGTTATCCCTGTTAAGTTTCGTGAGTCCAAAATAACATCTATCAAACTTTACGAATTGAGAATAGATTGCACTTAGACTGTTAATAAATTTAATTTTATTGATATTTATGATTATCCACAGTAGGGATGAATTAAAATTGTCAAAATTTTTAATCAGTTACAAAATAACTGTAATTTCATAGTTATTATTTGTTTCTATTTGTAGAAAACTGTTAAAAAATCCAGTATATTAACTGAAACATTTATTACTCCAGTGCATTGATTAAACTAAATAAGAAACTTTTATTCTTTTAAAAGCAGAAGAAACTTCTAGTTAAACAGAGATACTTATTCTCTTCTAAAGATGTTAAAGTCGTGACAAACAGATCCGGAGATATTGTGAAGTTGGATGTCTTAAACTATTCGATGAAGTTTTATCACATAGAAATCACTTTTCATAAATATTTTACTCGTCCGGATACTTAGTATCCGTTTAAAGTATAAAATCATCCAGAACATAAATTCATTGAATACAAAATAATGTAATCTCTCACAACAAAATTATCTTGTTAATGTAAAAAAGTTAATTTAAAATGGAAAAGAACTGATTTAAAAGTTCAAAATTCAGTGAATAATTTATATTTTTAAAAGTCAACAGTTTTATTTGATGCTTGATCTAGAGTGATCTTTGTTGTACATTATGGCCTCGAATCGTATGCGTCTAACAAGTACAGATCTATGGTTTTATGGGCGAAATATATACCCTTGGTTATTCCAACTTATTGTTAATTCTGTATCATAAGTTTTCATAGCCTCGATATCCAGTCACACGAGTAGAACATTTCTTCCTTGTCCCACAGGTATTGGTAAGGTAACGGCGGATTCGATTATTTTGACTGTATATTCCTCAGGTCGCAATATATATGTACCTTGATGCTCATTTCGACTATTTCCATCTCAAAAAATGATTACAACCTTACGTTTAGCTCGGGAAATTTATTCTTAAAAATTATAATTTATTTTATTTATAAAAGTATAACAGCACAGTACAATCTATAAATGTACGTTTGATCTTCACAAAAATTTATATTGGTACAAAATGATGTGAAATGTTTATATTATAAATATTATATAATAAGAAATTGAAATTACTCTATCAAAATTGTTAAGAAGTCTTATAATTTTCAACTGTTTCAAAATCACGGTTATTAATTATAGTCAGATATTGGTTAATCATTGGTATATGAATTGATAACGATTAATTTAATTATGCTTATGATGGAATATGTGCTAATTACAATTGTGGTTACCATGTAATGTGATCATTTATTGTTGAAACGTAAAATATGTACGCATAATTAACAAAGTTAAAGAAGGGTATTAAATCTATATTATTAATATTCCAAAATTATTTACGTACATAATATACATATTGAAGAGCAAAAAGTTAATTTTGTTCATTCATATTAAAAATAGCTTCTATAGAAAGTGAAAAATTATTAAATAGTAAAGATATGTCAATAATAATGAAAATAGTAGGACAGAAAAATAGTTACTACATAAGTTCAATAATAATAAAAGGTCTATAATGAATTAGTGTCAGCTACTCCACGAAAATCAATTGGTAATCATTATATTACCCATAACACTTTTTTTAATCCCTCTTCAAATTAATAACGTTTTAGAAAAATTAAAAGGTCTCAAGGCACAGAACTTTCCTTGCAAATTAATTAGAAAATTATTACTGGAGGGAGTCATTAACTAATTAGTCTTGAATATCGGTAAAATTAATTATGTTCATAGTAGAGGCACTAACACTAAATTCACTGAACTCAACCAACTTAATGGATTTCAGGCGTCATATTTAAAATTTCTAGAAATTATAAATATCAATTATTAGTTGACTAATTTTTATGCATCCATACTAAATACGAGTGCATAAAACACCGGTTAGAAAAATGTTTAGAAGAAGTTAAGAATTAATTTCTACTTAAAAATTATTTCGTTTCCACCTTATTGAAATTCTTACGAGAAAAATTCAGTTGCTACTTAATTCTTATTTCTCCAATTTACATTGAGAAATTTTAATTGTGCATATAAATCTGCGGTCTATTATAATTTTCTGTCAATTTTTGAGTAACGTAATGACATATCGCATCCTAGTTCACTCTTCCCTCTCCGTCCAACCCAATTACTTACAACATTTATATATATCAAACAGATTTTTCAAAAATAATACGATAAAATATACGATAATCTGATCTATACATCACATAAAGTTCAATATTCAGTATTAAAATATACACAATGTACAATAGAACCTGGATTATTCGATCAGATTTTACATCAAACTAATTTTTCAATATATATTTATAATATTCGATTGCACATATTGCAAGGTACAATCTAAGAAACCGAACCATTAAGTTCCAATTTTATCAAGATTCTAAATTATCTATTATACATCGCGAAAAATAGCAACGAGATTAACCCTTTCGCTCCGAGAAACCTCTTCTCGAAAAGTGTATGATCATGTACGAAGAACATATAATATATATGCACGTCCTTAAATGACTGTCGTGTTCGTAAAAACAATGTACTTTAATAAACAAAAAGCTGTGTTTTCAGTAACACTGGACCCAGTGTTTTATACATTATTATTTTATGTTTTCAACAAAACATTTGTCAATAACACGTTTCACACGTCTGTATCTATTCGTAAGTGACCCGATTCATCCATGGAGATCAAATCTCATTGTGAGCCTGCTGGGGTGAAAGGGTTAACCGAGTACCTACCGTAATCGTACACGAAATGTCGAAATAGAATAGTCTCATCCCTTGATTCGCGTATTATTTATATCCACATTAACTGTAAAACATAGTATCGACATTTCATTGAAAAGCGATGAACACACAGCGAAAAAGGTTTCGGGTGCGAAGGGTTAAAGGAGTCAGTGGTTTTCGAGTATACATACGTGTCAATCAGTGTCGCTGATCGCACCTTGGAGTTGGTCCTGCTCTGGAGTACCGGAGTCAGTCGGGCTGCGAGCTTCGACCGCGGAGGTTGCCGGGCCACGGGTTCGTCGCAGGTGCGACGCTTTCCGCGTTTTTCCCGATTCCCTATCGATGGATCGTTCCTGCAAAGAAAACGATCCAGTTTTTATGCAATCATTGCAAGGAAATAGACGGTTGCTAGGTAACAAATCAGCAGTATTCGTGACGTACACCGTAAAACAAGCTTCTGTGTTAACCCTTCTGTTTCGAACGGTACACATAGGTTCCACGAACATTTGAAATTACCGGAAAGCTAGAAACTGCTTAGATAAAAAAAAATTGTACCACTTGGGAATCTTTGCTTATGGCTGACAGCTTAAGTGCTAATCAGCTGCCAGTAGGTGTGTTTTGGTTGATTAGTGCGCAGCCGTAAGTTTTCTTTCACAAAATTCATTTTAAAAAAGATATATAGTCAGGAACGAAAGGGTTAATAGCCACGTAACCAATAAGAGGCATTTGTTTTTGATAGGGATTCCTTTGAAACGAATTGTTTTTTTTTTAAGTGCTACGAACATGTTCTTGCAATTAGTATGTTAGGTGCCACTGGTCATTTTTGTTTGGCACTGTCGCACTGTTTGAATGCAGATAAATGAATTTGATTGATAATGTGAGTTTTAATTAGATAACAGTGTGAGGTATGGAAACTGTAGTAGTTAATAATTAATAACTGTTATTTTGATATTTACCTCTGCCATGAATGGAATGAATGATGCTTTTGTGAAACGCACAAAATTATATTAATTGAGAATCGTTGCGTTAGACGGCTCTGCGTGATAAAAAGTATTAGAACAGACGAATTGCAACACGATTACTAACAATGTGAGGAACCATTTATATTAGATTGAAATACTCATGACCGTTTCTTTGGTGAAAAATAACCTTTGCTGGGAAGGCATGTTTTTTGATAAAGAAAATAACAGAGCAGTAAACTAGATTGTTTTTCATTATTTCAATTTCTAAGTTGAAATGATTGAAAAATCATAAATATGTATGTAATCTTAATTATGTATGTTTAAATGAAACATTGATATATATTTCATTTAGATACTTTTAGTTATAATTTTCTTATTTATGTATAATCCAGTCCCAAGACTGTACATACTCCATATTTTATGCAATGTTCTTAAATTTTAGCGGCTAAAAATGTCCGATTTTACAATAAGAATTTATCTCCTTCATTGAGAGTACCTTTAGAAATTCGCAATCGATAATCGAATCTACTCGTACTACACCTGGACCACTTCTACATTGACTTAAATACCTACTTGTCACTTCCATGAACGATCATCTAGACAGCTCTCTCAACAAGTTTACTCGTTGCCGTATGCATAGAGTTTTATGGTACATACTAGGATACGTGATTTTAATGAATAAAACATTGAACAATTCTCCCGATTATTCTGTACTAGTATCAAAGAATTGGATTGGAAAAGTTATTCTTCGCAAGAAACTAACTCTAGGTTATAATCCCGTTGAACTGTTTCATTCTTATTTTATATTCTTCCATATACTATCTTATTTTCAGACATTATATACATATACACATAAGCACATCTTCACGGCCATTTCAGCGCAGAATTATTAACTTGGCCAGCTTTCAAACGAACACATAAAATATGGATTAAATATAACATTTCGATCAGCGCAGCTGAAAATGGCACCAGTTTAAATCGAAAGAAAGGAAACACTTTGTAGGTCATGGGTAAAAATATTGACTTGGCCCGTCAATAGAAAGTTCACGCAAAGTTCTAAAGTAGGTAACCAATATTTAAAGTTGATAGACAGCATCAAAAACGAATCAAATTCCTTAAGCTGGTATCTTTGAAATAATTGATTTTTTTGTAAAATGGTGCGAAGGTAGCTCACGAAAATGTTCATGTATGTTAAATGAATAGGAAAATTTCTTTCATTCTGTAGTAAAATTACTATTAGAAACATCCAAAGAAGAACACCAACTCAGCAGTTGGCATATTTCGTTTCATATAATTTAATTGTTGTCTTGTTGACAACGTAAATGGTTTCACAAGTTCGCTTATCGTCTGTAAACAATATAATACATAATCGATGTTCGAAATTTCTTTTGAGGTGGAATCCAAAAATAAACATATGAAGTTAATATAAAATAAGTATACAAGTTAAAATGAAATGGAACTTTAAATATTCTTAAAAAATAAGCACTGTTTAATAAATGCATAAACTGATGTTCAAAAATGCCCGGAATAAATAAACTATACTATTGAAATCCTTGATAAAAATAGGTACATTTTAAAGTGTTAGTTAAAAAAAGATTTTTCGAGAATTATGCTTCACTCTGTTTTCTATTTAAGAATGTACATGTTCCATTACAGAAAATGGAATGGTACAAAACAAATTAAATTTCATGACCAAACACTCAGAGAACATTTTCCATTTATTTAATGTCTTTCAAAAATGCCGAGCGCAATATTATGACGCTTTAAATAATTGTACCATAATTCTCTAATTAAAAGTTTCTTCAAGCGTTAATTTGTTAATGTATCCTCACGAAAATAACTATACAAGTTGTCACTATACACTGGAATACATTGGTATGCGCTAAGGATCACTTGCATTATTATTCTAGCAAGACCTTAATCGTCGCTTATTATACTAGATAATGAAAATAAAAATAATTGAGACACAAAAAAATTGACATATTTCCTATAGTATACGTTTAAGCATTGGGCACTAAAAATTTGATTTGTAAAAAGCAAGTTAAACATATCATTCTAAGAATATTAGTGGAGTGATTTAAAACAATCTTTTGTAATTAGAAAATAAAGATACTAAGAAAGATTTTTCGTCAACAAATATTCTATAGTGTGTTAAAGGAATCTCTTCACTGAATAAGAAATTACTCTTTTTATTAATTTAAGGAAATATTTTCCCAAGTATAAAACTTTCATCTTGTCCCTTTAAATCATAGAATGTGTAAATCATTCGTAGAGCTCGACCTGGACTATTTGGAAAGAAGAGGAGGCGAGTCAATAACCTGTGAAAACGCTGAGAGCGGATCGAAAGAGGAAGAAAGCCCCGCAGACACTCTGGATCGTGTCAAAGTTGTGTTTCTCGGTGCACCTGGGGTGGGAAAGTCCAGCATAATTAGGGTGAGTACCGTATATGCATAATTACATCGATGTACTTAATTTAACAGATATGCAATACCAAATATATCTCCGAACGTATTTGTACCTATTTGCCATAATATTTCCTGCAGTGCACTGAGATTTTCATACAATTTAAATCTGTTAGTATGAATCTATTAATACTCATCTACTAACACACCTAATTGTCCATACGAGCTATAAGTAATATAAAACATGAAAAAATTTTTAATAATAATATTTTACTCACAATACTTATATGTTAACTTCATACTTAATATACAATCCTTTGTATTAAATCAGTAAACTAATACAAGTCGATATGTGTTTGATCAAAGTTTTAATTTATTTATTTTTTTTCGTAGTTTTATTTCTAAATTTCTAAAAATTGCAAATAGTTTATATTACATCTAACACTTCGTGTACTTTAATAATGTAATTTTGGTAAAAACAGAACATCAAGTGATGCTTTAAAATTAATTTGGATTTAAAGATATCATTAATTTCTTTAAAGAAGAGAAATATGGTTGAAATTATTCCTAAATTTTAATCACATGATTGTAAAATTCGAAAGAGTCATCGGAACTGGTCCACATTAAACGAGTTTCAACGAGTGAAGCTTAATAATCTCCGATTGACAAAAGCTTTTATTATATGGAAGAACATTTGATTGAAGAGGATACTTCAATTAGAGAGTAAGATTAGCTAAATTATCCATTAGGAAGTACATTATGCTGCATCGTAAAAGTTATTTGCAATGATAAAGTGAGAAATGCTATGCTTAACGGTATAATTAATTTAACTACTGTTGGCCACAAATGAGTACAGTCCACACGTGAATACAGTTTTTATGCTCCTGGATAAAAACACTACAATCAAATTAATATATCTAGTATGCTTTGTTACAGTAAAATTGATATTTGATCGTACAGTTAGTACCTTACGCACAGTTATTCAATTACTTATAAAGAAATTAATCAATTTTCATAGTAAGTTTCAATACAAATGAATATAAGTTGCAATATATCAATTATCGTTAGTATTTTATTTAAAAACTATCAAAGATATAAAATTACATACATACGATAATATTCCTGACTAATTGCTTTTTTTCAACTTTCCCTTACAAGAGTGTTTTAAAATTGAACGAATGAAAAATATTCATAAATGGGCAATTACTAGACTACCAATTTACAAACGGCACAAACCAACAAAAATTAAACTAGTATAGTATAGTATCATTTAAGCATTTGTCCCATATTAATTTGACAGGTTATAGTTCGAAATCAGATGTCATGCACAACACGACAGTCGAACTTGTGAATTATAAACCAGATAAACTGAGAAAAATAATTCGCGCAATTAGAATTTCTAACAACATATTTCCATTTATTCTAACTTCGTACCGTTGTAATTACCGCCAAAACAAGGTCAACGATGTGATGTAATCATGATCTTGAAATGAATTTGAATTCAGAATTCTAGGTCCGATTAACGGAAACGTTAGCATGCTCAATTTGGTTTCGCAAGTAATTAGATCTTACCCATTGTACTAACGTGTATATCCTTAGCAGAAGATAAACTCCCAATGTACACGTACGTAATTATCAACAAACTACAAATACAGTTCTGCGTCAATTATCCGAGCCTCGATTATCCGAATCGTCGCTATTCCCAATGGCATCGTGAGAACTAACAGATAAAACATAATTCTACGGATCTGAAGTATCTTTCGTTAATAACAATAGATCTTTAACACTATTTTCACTGCTCTTCTGTATATACCTATTTTCACCAAGACGTAATTTAATAAATTCTATTACAAATAAATAAATTACTTAATATAATTTAATGAATTAACTATATAATAATTTAATAAAATAAACTACTTAATAAAAACATATACTACTAAATTAACTTTATATTCATTATAAGAAAAGTCAAAAAGTAAAGTTAGCATAAATGATTAAACTTAGACAACACCTTTCAGTGAAAATTTTAAAGGATGTGCTTTGACACCTTCGGTAAAAATTGTGTTAAACTTGAATAAAACAAATTGCATGTAAAGTATTGGAAAAATGTTTGTTATTACTTATAAGAAAAACTACGCGAAGAAGAGACAGTTTTCAATGACTACAATAAATTAGAGATTATTTAAAAAAAAACCTTACTTTTAAAAACTGAATTGCATGTATATAATTATTATGTACATATTTATCTTTTTTTATTTATTTAAGAGAGTATATGTACCATGTTCGTACAAATCTAATAAATATATGCTGTTACTGTAAAGCATTTCTTCGATAATTAATTAGTATTTTAGTTACTATATACTACATTTTAAATTATCCCAATTACCAGATTTTCTGCCTTGATTCCAATTGGTTCGAATAATTGAGGCTCTACTATATGCAGATGTTTGCAAATATACCTACATATCTAAGAAAGTACATTCACTTTTCATGGGACTGTTTGCCATAATTTAGATAGGAAAAATCGAAAAATACTGTTTTATACATACAAAGAGCGACATTCAAGAGAGAATTATTGAACGAATATCGACAAATTCGTTATATGTCAAATGGGTATTGGAAATATCGTTAGGTATCACACGGATGTCGATAGCTTCGTAAAGAATAAAACCATTATAGATTTGATATAGTACTGGTATTGATTTGGTATCATTCCAAAAAGTATCGGTATCGGAAATTGATCCCCTTCGATACCATTCATAGAATACTTTGCTCTTCTTCGAATATCATCGATACTATCAGTATCAATCTGATCACCAATGCGCTAGGGCGCCACCATACCAATATGATAGCTTTTTCTATTGTTGTACCTATTGATAATTTTCTTTTTTCATCATACATAGCTTAAAATTGTTATTTATATTTGAAAAATTCCACATCTAGACAATTCAATTTTGTTTATCTAAAATCTCTCTAGAGTCAGTTTGAAAAATAAATACTTTTAAATTTTGCTATTCCTTAGCTTAGCTTCAGTTCCAAAATTAACGGAAATAAAAAATAGCATGACAAATAAAAAATGTGTTTTAATTATGCAGTTGGATCATTTATCTAACAATAACTTTATTGTTTCATTAAAAAATATTAATCTTTTTATGTTTTCAAGTCTTAAGACCAAATGGTAATGAGAATTACACCATTTGTGTTTAATTGCTTTGTCTGCAATAAATACCTGTTTAAAAAGATAATTCTACAATTAATATTCGATTGATTTAATTAATTATTCTTTATATTTGTATTAACAAGTGTTAATTGGTGTAACAGATGTGATTTCTGTGTAACAAGTATTTTGTGACCTGAATAAAATGTTTATATCCTTATTATAATACAATAATACTCTGCATTGTATTGTAAATAGTTTGAATGTTAACGGTGATGCTTCTGTTGGTGGTTGTGTGCTGATAATAGTAGAAGTGTGGGAGTGATGGTATGAAGAGAACTCACCGCTATAAGTTTGCGTATATTGTTCCGGGATTCCTGAGCATCGACTGCTCAGTAATAGGCTATGTGTCAAGACTACGTTCATTTCTACCCAATATGCAGATGTTCAAGATTCCTAGTTTATAATGTCTTAAACCTGCATTAACAGAGCTGAAATACTAATGACTCTTGCGATTCTCAATTAAGAAATCAATTATATTTTCATTAACAAAGGATTGCCCCATTATTCTATTGACATTACTAATTACTACTAAATTATTAACTATTTATTATTGAATTTCATTATCAAATTCAGCACAAGTATTTCATCTTTGTTCACTTTACAGAATTTTTCAAAAACTGAGTGATAAAATGGATACTGTTAACTAACGTGCAAAAGTCAGAAAAAATCTAATAAAAGAATTTACTTATAATTCGTGCAAAGAACAATCTGTATAAAATTGTAACTTTTATAGCTTCTGATAATTTTATATGTGTTCTAAATACATGACAGCCTAATTCTCCTTTGAATATCGATGTTATCTAGTACGGGCTAATGGTTTACTGTGGTTTTACATGAACCGTAAAATGCGCATGAAAACATTTTTATTTGAGACACATGAGCTTAAAGGAAATCAAAATTTAATTACACTGTAAATTACAAACCATGAAATTGTAAAATCGCCTCATTCGTTAGCTATAAAAGGAAGCCAAAGATTCTCAATCTGGTAGTAACGAACGCTGCTGCATAAGACGCGAATGACTTCCTTTCATTTCCGGAAAGAATTTCCGGTTATAGATGGCAACTGTCGAGTGCCGAGGAAATGAGAAGTCACAGAAAAGAGTTGTAGAATGTTTAATCGGCAATATATGGGACATTTCGTTCAATGTCGTAGTTTTTTAGTTTATTACTTTTTTTTAGCTGATGAAAAATTAAATATTTGGAAATGGAAAATATATGAGATATTAATGAAAAATTACATTTCCATATTACGTTTTGTTTATTTGATCCAGTTCTTCTGTTACAGAGAACACATTCCAATTTGCTCGATTTAAATAATTTTCCAACACACTCTGTGATAATATAAATAACGAATCAAATAAAATAGAAACAATTCTCAAGGAAAAATATTTGCAATGAAAAGTCGTGCTTAAAATAATCTATCATGACGTATTATCAGTATACAAAAGGATATGAATATTTATGCGAAATATAATAATTTATTCAATGATAAGTGCACTAAAATGATAGAAATAAAGTTTAACTGCGAGTTACGAATATTATTAAAAAATACCAAACAATAAATACTAAATATTTTTTAAAATAAACAATAAACTCGCTTTGACACTGCGATGCCAATTTCAGCTCATAATGACCTATTTATTCTTAACATCCTGTTCTATATAATAATAATTACAGAATAAATAGTTTTCGAATAAACTATCGATCATTTCTTAGATTATTTAATCAAAAATTTTTTATGTAGTATATTTTAAAACTATTACAATAGCTGACTGAAATTCACTAGTTTCAATAAACCGAGTTTTACCAGTGGAAATATTCAAATAGGCCGTCGATGCGTGCGAAAATTTTAAAGCAATTGCTTTCCTATCTGTCAACAAACGCAAATTGCTTGGATCGGGAAAGTGTTACCGGTGTTCCATCGTTTGTGCGTTACAGCAATTCGTGTGGAGCGAATTTTCCGAGGAATACAAGCCAACCGAACGCAGGGAGACTTTCTATCCGAGTGTGGTACTCGCTGACCGACTGTACGAACTAAAAATCACGGATCTACCGACAATACCGTATTTTCCGGTCAACTCACACCTCGAATGGACGGACTTCCGTTATTGCGGCCTGCGAAGTGCGAACGCCTATGTGCTCGTATTCGATCTCAGCAATCAGGATACGTTTCAGGTATGTAAAATGCTATACTTAACTGATACAGCATATTTTTCGAACTACAATAGAACCTCGTTTATCTGATTTAATTGAGCGGTTAACAGACCGAAGGACTCGGAAAGAAATTCTACAAAACATGTTTAGAAAATTCGATCGCATATATCCTGAGGAATAATTTAAAAATTCGAATTATTAAGTTTGTGGATAAGACTTTGAGCGACCCAGATCGCGAAAGACGATGTATCTGGTATGTACACTATGTTACGAAATGTAAATTTTAAAAACCAAAGTCTCAGTTATTGTCATCCATGCAAATAACATGCTTCTATGCCAATAAAATAGATTTGTAATCTATGAAATATGTCTATGAAAATAATCATTTAATACTTTCAATTATGTAAAACATTTGAATGAAACAAGAAATGGTATAGCTAACTGTTAGATAGAATAATATCAGGAGTTTCCTAGTTTTATCAATCTATAAGGTTTTCAATTAACGATTTTGGTACGTTATTTCCAAATATGTTAAATACATCTTATATAAGTATAACTTCTAAATAGCAATTGTTAGGCATATATTGAATAAAAATGCATTAATGTATTTGTATATAAATAATTTAAATCTAAACTACATAATGGAAACAGTTTGTAAACAGAAGTTTCGTAGATACGAAGGTGTGCAATTTTCAGTAACACTCACTGTACACCGCAAAGTCTTAATATTATTGAAACTGTCTCTGCGAAAGCTGTCCGAGTGTTATTTTCCTTCCCTTCGGTTTAATGTTGAAAGTTCTAGTCAAGACTATCCATGATCCCGAAGTTTACAAAAAGTTGCACACTGGGTTTGTATTATATTTCGTTCCCGAAGCTTTCGAATAAATTAAATGCAACGAAAAATTAATTCACTTCTTCGAATATTCCTTTTATTACATATGAGCAGAAATACTTTGATAACAAGAACTGTGTCTTATAGAGACTAATTTTTGTTATCTTTCACTTTAGAATACCGTTTTTTCTTGTTTCGCAGTACATTAGAACATTGCGGGAGCAAATTTACGAAGCACGAGACATGAGAGGTGTACCGTTGTTAGTAGTCGGAAACAAGCAAGACGAATTATCGCCCGCAGCAGCTTCCGGAAGTAGGTACAGAGACATCGTCAATCTTGTCCGAAAGCATTGGCAATGTGGCTACGTTGAGTGTAGTGCAAGATTTAACTGTCGCGTTGTTCAGGTACGTGTGAGATCAAGCTTTACTTGAATATATCATGCCATATTTATTACTTTAAAGATTCAATTTATTTACAATATCGTATTGATCACCCAAAATATTTGATTAATCTAAAAAATCATCTCACTTATATCACCTTATTAATTAGATACTATTATATAATAATATGTAAGGAAATAATAATATATGATTATATAATGTATAAAAATATATAAAAATTATATATGTAAAACACAATTATGTAATACTTTTCAACTTACACTAATTATTTCGATGTAATACACACGAATACGAAACAGCGAACCACTTTTGTTGGGTGCAATATAAAAACAGATTGGTGATATTTATTTATGTTAATTCTACTTTAAAGAACGATTTTGTCAAATGAAAATTGATCTATTGTTGTTTTGTATTCTTATTATAATTTTTTTAACTGAAACATTTTTTGAACTATGCTTCTGTATATGATATTTCCCTTTTATTTTTATTCGTAGAATATGCTGTTATAGTTTTATGAAAAATAACTTTCATTGTACTGAACAGTTTAACAATTTTACTGTATCCATCATACTAATTTTATTGTCAATTTGTTTAATGTTTTTATCAGATTTTATGTTTCTCTACTAATACTTTACAAGTCATTAACAACTTTTTATCTATCTTATTTCTATTATTGTTGACTGTCATTAAGCTCATTTTCCGAGAATAATTTTTGCTTAACTTGTTTAGTTCAGTAGGAATAATATAAGCAGAAAATATACTTGAGTCATTTGAAGATAATGATAATATTTCCTGATCCATTTGAACATTTTCTGTGCTATTCTTATTTGTACTATGTTCATTAAAAAAATTGTTGGTATGGTCTATTGTAATTGCTCCATGTACATTACAATGATGTAGGTTTGTTGATTGAAGATTACAAACTGTCTGATCATCTGAACTGTAATTACTTGAAGGTAAAGATCTTGATCCCCTACCATCTTCATTCATATCTGTATTTATTATACTCGTTTTGTTTTTATAACTTTGTTGCACATGATGACTTCTTACAGGATACAAATTTGTTATGCTGCATTTATTGTTCACATTATTATTTATAGGATTGTCACAATCCAATAATAGAGATGAAGTTCTATTTAATGTACGTTTGTTTTTCATTGAGGCCTGTTTGGTGGTGACAGTATGATCAGCTATAACAATTTTAGGACTGCCAATTCTAACAGGATATTGATTAATTTGCTTTTGATTTACAATATCCATATTCATTTTGTTATTTTCTGTGCTTTTGGAATTGCCAATAGGTTTTTCTACTGGTTTCTTAATGATCGTAATTTCTTTTAATCTACTCAAAATAGATATAAAGCTTTGGTTGTTCCATATACTAGTATCCGTTTTACAATTCTGAGATGTAGGAGTAGAGGTAATACTGATTCTCAATGGTAAATTATCTTTCTTTTTTCCATCATTTGAATTCAGCTGTGTGCAATTACTTTCTACATGATTTATATTATCTCCTACGGTTTTTTTTACTATACTGAATGGTTTTTTAAAAAAATGTGAATTGTTAAAACTTGAAGGTACCATATTTTGTAACTGTGAATCATTTTTATTTAAATTGGTACTTATTATAGTTTCTTCAAGTTTCGATAAATTCGTAAAATTCTTTTCTTTTTCATTGATTTCTTCCCTCAACTTGCTAAGAACACAACTAATAATGAACACCAAATTGTTAGCATCTTGTTGGGACACTATTTCATCTTTCAGAATTTTCTGTTGTAAATGATTCATTTGTAATATAAATTTAAATAATGTACGTTTCAACCCATTCATTATTTTCACAACAAAAGCCTTAAAATTTAGAGCTTTTTGAAATTTTACTTTATTTTCCAAAATATTGGATGTATATCCATCTACATTATTTTCACTTTGTATTTCTTGATTGTGCATTATCTCAGTTTTATCATTCTGAGATATGTTATTACGGGGTAAATCAACTAAGCTTTGTTTCTTTGATTTTGAAGATTCTATTAAATTACTATTGACATTATCATTCAACTGAGATTCATTTCTATTATTAATTACTTCAACATTCTGAGATTCATTTACTTTAGGCTTATTTAGTTTTAATAAATTTGAACGCTCTGTATTTTCAAATTTATCACGATTAGTGGTTAATACAATATTATGTTTTACTTTATTCATAGAGTTATTATCGTTCAATTTTGAACTTAATTGTATTTGTGTCTCTTCCACTGGACCTTTCCGCATCTTTTTGAAGGGTATAATGAATTCACAAGAATCATCACTATCAAAATCAAATATTTTCGTTTTCAATTTAAGATTTCTGAAACAAAAGGGTGTGTTAAAATAACTTGATCATATAACAAAAAACACATATGTATTATTAGCAAAGATACAAAGGTTTATGTCAAATCATACTTTCTTAAAGCCGTTTTCAAAGACAAAAAGAAGAAAACGATATGAGAATATTAAATACAAAATACAAACATTATTAAATGCTAACTTTTGTTATTATTCTTTATATAGAAACATCAAATGTAAAATGACGTGTGGTGACCGCAAATGAAACGTAACAAATTTGGAATGTAAACACTTACTTATTTTTGGAAGCCATGACAAGTACAAAATTAGATACGTAAATCTTTTGTAAACAACTAACTGTTATATCCCAAAAAACATGTATTCAATGTGCGTTCAATCAAGAATATATACTGTTGTAACATTCAAAACGAACACATGATGGAAGCAAATGAAAAATTTGGCGGCTTCGCTAAGTTTGCGCCACCTATGCACCGTCAAATAAAGTAAAACACTCGATCACCCAATTTGTGACACAGATTCAAATTGCAACCACAAATTTCTATATTGTGTGATTTTTCCTTCACGGTTTTGAAATATCGACACTGTTAAAAATACTTTATTAGACTAGTATAAATGTTAAAATTTTATAAAAAAATACAATCTTATCGCACTCGACAATTATGTAAATTTATACGTGATCGTCGAGACTTGAATGCAAATTTTCATTAAATAATAATTATGTACATATTCATTGACTAATACAAAAGTAAATATAACTTCATTTAATATGAATGTAATTCATATTTTATTTTGTTTTTATTTTCAATTCATTGACGATATTTCCATTATAATATTGTTGATATTAAAACAATTTGAATTTAGTTGGAAAATGCTAGTTAGCTCTATGTTATAATATTTTATTTAATATGCATCAATGACTATAGTCAGAGGAGAGGTTAACAACAATGTACGCCTATTTAAATTTAAATTCGATTTTCGGGGTTCATTGTCAAACATAAATTTAAATTTAAATTTGATTTTCGAGGTACATTGTTAAATTTAAATTTTCATTGCAGTTCATGACTATGTCCTAGAAGTGAACATTTATATGAAAAATAATGAATAATTTTCTATTGGCCGATGTTTACATTTTTTAGTGTAAAAATCAATTGCTCAAAGATTAATACTTTTATAGTGAATGAGATTCGTTTTTTGTAATAATTGATTTTAATTGAATTATGTATATTTCCACCAAGAGTTCAAAACTTAAATTACGTTTTAATTAGAAACTAAAAAAAGTTTTATAATAGCGAGGATCATTATCAATACATTTGAACTCTAAATTATACCAAATAATGTAGTTATATAACATAAGCATGTAAATTGAACTTTGATTTTAATTGTTAAAATTCTATGAAATATCAATATTATATCCTTCTCGACAATATATAAGAGCTTTTCATTGGTTAACCAGAGTCTTTGCATACTCTTAATGTGGTATGACCTCTAAGAATTAGTATGATTACTTGTTTGTTTTACAGACATAAAGAATAAAGTTATGTTTATGTAATATGGTTATTTCATACCTACCAACAGGTATTTCGAGAATTAATGAAGGGGATCCAAGCAGTTGAAGGCAGACCACCCTCACCAACGTCTGCACCCTCGCAACCTCTGCGGGCGCACCCCCACGACACTGGGGAAAAGTGTACTCTTCTTTGACACTAATATAAAAAAATCAGCGTACACGTCTTCTGCGACAATATTATCAGAAGAAGCTGCTTCCTTTCTTAGCACGATGCAGGGTCGTAATTAAGTCAAAGGCAGAAGTCAAATGTAAACGGGAGGAAGGTTCAATGAAAGGGATCGAGGCAAATGAAACCTAACGATTGAACGTTACTGAGGATTGTGCAATAAATAACTTCCAACACATCTTAATAGTTTAAAAGGCGAAACGAAATCCACGAACCATTCCTGTGGCTCATCGATCAATCGTATGGTATATAACATTGTGATTGTTCAAAGTATTTTCATGTTTTACCAAAAGTGCATTCGTTTCTTATTCATTCCTTATACAAATAATTACAAATTTAATATATTTTTGTTATATTACAACTTTGATACTAGATACAAATTGACGGGGAAAAATGAATAGAAAGAAATATTTTTATGGTTATTGCATTTCAGTTAGGAAATTATGATTTATTCACTTTTCACGGTGACACGTATTTCGAATTATTCAAATTTTCGTGTTCATATGCAACTGCGTTAACAATTAATAATGAAGTGAAAACCAAATGTGTAGTGCGAATTGAGCATTACCGAGTGGCGTAAAAATGTACACCGTGTAGTTTTAACGCTGAAGAAATACAATCTTGTTGTACAATTGTAATCACTCGTTCGTAACAAAGTGACAAGTGTAATGAGCTGATTGCAAATGTGCACTGCGTAATTACTTGCAATTGACTGCCGAATCCCTTTATACCTGCGCATAGTTTCGTTCACTGTTTTACTTCTATAATTCGCTCTGTAAATACATCGTGCAATTTTATCTTCTATACAGGATGATGAATTTTACTTTATAAATGCAATTAAGTATTTTGAATATACATCAATTTAAACGTATGTATCTATCAAATTTCTGCTAATGACCAATTTTTTTTTACTTATTTTGATGAACATTGTCTCTGTTACATACAAATTATATTTAGTTACTTTGTAATTAATCATGCCCTCTATAATAAAATATTTTATAGATTAAAATTCGTCGTTCTGTATACAAACTTCGACGAAAAAAGTAATGAGACTGTGAGAAGCAAACAATACACGTGTAAGACACTTTTTATTTATTTCTTCCTGTGTATTCACCTGTCACACACTTTCGAAGAAAGAACAAATTTCGTTTGCACCTGTAGTATTGTCCTTTTCTTCTTTATTAGAAAAATTATTGTCATTTGAACTTTATTATTTAAATTCTACTATATTCCATGACTTTTTATATTCGTAACAACCATTTGCACATTTATATAATAGCATTGAGAAATTTTACTTAAATTCTTTCCGGACACTCGCACTAAAAATGAATTTTACAAAGTGTCTCCTTATAAAAGGAACGCTAGGTTTTAATTGAAATTTTTAAAAATCTTTATAATCGGAAAACCATAAAATGCAGTGTGAACAATTATTTGAAAATACAGAAGAAACACTTAACTGTGTGAACAAATGAATTTTGAACATAATGTACAAAAATTTCAACATTTCGAATAACTTTTGTAAGTAATCATTAATTATATGCAAAGAATGTTTACGAGCTTCATTTATTACTAGACACATAAATTTTTTACAATGACTTTTTATACAAGCACTTGACCGAAACATTGCCAATATCGAATTCCGTATTCAGTTTTTGCTTTAAGCAGAGCGATGCATTTCCATGCACACCTTAAAACCACTTAATCAACAATACATCAGTGTGACGTTTTCGAAGTTATTATACATAAAAATTAATATCTCATTATTATTCAGATGTTTCGCAGCATAATTTTCTACGCTTCCTTATAGATTTAGGTATTTACATTTCATTTTATCATTTCTAACATTTGTGAAAATAGGAATCTCTTCTGAATTAATAGAATTTACCGTCTCGTTACTTTCCTACGGTACTATACATGTGATGTAAATTATGTATCTTGAATGAAACGAAAAGAATTTGTCCAAACGCAATGAAATTCTGTTTTCTGATTTCTTGTTTCATGTATAGTATATTATTCATGTTTGTTATCGTACTTCTCTATTCTAAAGTAATTATATATTTTTTATTTTTTTCTAGCAATGAATTCGGCCTAATAATAATAAAATAATAATAATAATAGTAATGAAACAATAAAAGTAAACATAATAATTATATTATAAATAGCGAACAAATAAATGTAATAATAGCGTGTTATTGAGAGTTACCTCAGATCAAGCAATAGCGTATACTATATATATTTTACTTACTTTTAAGGAATTAATTACTAAGTAGCTCATAAGTGTAGTTGTTGATATTATAAAATATTGTGCATGTACACTATCGGCTATAAGTACAAAAAAATTATGTGCAAATATATATGTTAAATTTGTTGAATATTTTCATAAGAGAAACATTGTAAGAAATGTTTCACACGTTTTTTAATATCAATAAGAAATTATTCATCACTTTTCACAAACTTATTTTAGATTATGCAATTTCAATAATGTAAAAATTCTATCATTTTCACAAGCATAATTTATCCTTGTTTTTAAAAATTCTGAAATTGTTCACAGTTTAAAAAGTTTAACACGTTCACACCGGCGTGTACCACCGATGGCTCACAGTAAGATATCATATTAGACGGCGTGTACCATCAAATATGTGGTTCCTCAAATGGTGTGGTAATTAGAAAATATTTCCATATATTTGAAAATTAATTTACTTATTGATAATTTCAATATTTTCATCAATTTTAGGAATTCAGCCGTCAGATGGGAAAGAGTGTGAATTACAGCGCCGGTATGAACGTGTTAAAAACAAGTGATTTCGGTACAGACTACTGTATTCAGCAATTTCGTGAAGAAATATCAAGTTCTATATTTCGTATATGTAAATGCTGATTTATATTTTTGTTCAGATTCAAATTGTAATTTATTGTCGTTCTGATACAGCCGATAGTGGACAAATTTGTATGCAAATCTATAAAACGTACGTTACTGTTATTGTTTATACCTATTTTAAGTAAAACGCAATATTTTCGACTCAACAGCTCTATCTTTGCCTGCTGTAAATTACAGACGAGGCCAAATAATGAATTGTTGAAAGATTTCCTGACAATTTTTGCGTTAAACTTGTTGTGTGTTACACGCGTAGGCGATACAAAATATACGTAAATGTTGAATATATCGTAAATCAGGATAGAGAGTAATTACATAACATACAAACATGTGTTCGTTGGAAATCTTTATACCGAAATACATAGAATCTAGAAGAAGATAACTTTCGACGCGATTTGTACAGCTATCGAGTGTCGAATAAGCGTCGTTTGACATACAAAATGGTATTATTCATTATTTTGTATGCAGAAGTAACGCAATAATAAACCACAAACTGAAATACAAATTGTTGTATGAATTTTATTTATTCACCTCCTTTTGTTAAGTATTACAATAATATTAAGCTGAAAACAACACGTTAGTGCAAATACTGCGTCTAGGTATTAATTTATTAATATATTATTTATTTTATTCCGTTAATTAATTACGTTAATGTATTCGCGAATAAATTATAATACTTTAATCCCAAGTATACAGTGACACCACTTACAACTATGAGTTTATTTAGAATTTTATTAAATGAACTCGTAAAAATAAATTCATAAACATCTACTGTTTAGTTACAATATAAAAATTAATATTTTTCAAATATATAGAATTGTATACGTGCAGGTATTACAGTTAATGAATTGTCATAAAGAAAATGATTAATAATTCTCTATATTTACAATTAGTATGGACTAGAGTGTAATATCAATGCGTTAATATGTCTATTAAAATTACTATTAACAACATTTAATCATAAAATACCCCGTGGGAATTTGAAATTACCGAAACATGAGTGTTTTATGAAATGTCATAATTGTAATTGAGGAGGAAGTAAAAAAAGAAAACAAAAAAATATTCACACAGACGTGTCAAAGTATACCGTCATAATTTGATTTTGTTCATTATTCCTTTGAGCAGGGTTATGACAAAATTTTATGCTTTTCTTTATCCAGTTCTCAAATAAGAACAAAAATTTTAAAAGGAATATAACGATCTTAACCTTGTAGCATGGTGTAACAATCCTTTTCCATGAAAATTTTAAGGGACCGTGTCTGAAAATTTGCTGACACATTTTGCAAAAATGCATCAAATTTGGAGAAAATGGATCATCAAACGGACGACGTTACTAAAGTTTAAAAGAATGAGCAGCAATAATAATTTCGGAGGACAGCGACACGTATTGACGGTTGGAATTGATTTACCGATGTACGAGGTTACTCGCAGCCAATTTGATTTTCAGAATATTAACCAAACTCAATAAGATCGATCAATGTAAAGAATTCAAATATATTAATTTAAAAAAACGATTAAAATTTCAGGTTACAATACTCAAGTAAAAATGTTCTATTTATTCAGATATTTTGTATTTGTTACATTTTTATTTAACTACTAATAAAATGTTTTACGAGTAAATAACAGATTTACATCAGATAAAACTTTTATTTATTCAATAGAACATTTACTAAATTAAATAGATCGATACTGTAATATAGGTTGTTACTACAAGTAATTTTAAAATTGCTAAATGATTTATTATTTAATAATAAAATTAAAAAAATTTAATCTAAGTACTCGTTCAGTCTGCATTGCAGTCTGTGTTCTGAAAATGAAATCAATTGTCTTAATTACTAAGTATAGACCAACAAACATATACATTTGTATTATATTTATCTGCAAATAACACAAAGTATATAACAATTCAAATTTTCAAAATTAATTAATTTATAGAATTTATTATATACAAATGTTACAACTGAAAAAGTTATAAAATTGCTAAAATATAAAAGAATTAATTCAATTAAGACGAGCAGAACAAAAGGTAGTCCCAGTACGAGTACAAATTTGAAGGAAGCCCTATGGGAAAAAATACCCATTCATTATGATCTACTAAGGAATTTTCGTGAGCAGCATGGATCCTCCGTGGTCAGTCATGTTACCGTGGAAAATATATATCAGGGACTAAATGGTGTGAAAACTATGGTCAGAGAAACATCAGAAACGGATCCAAAACATGGCGTAAGTGACAATATATCAAATTTCTATAAATAAAAAAAGTATAAAATCCACAACGAAAATACTCGAACGTGAGAATACTGATTATTTCAAGTACAAAGTGCAAGATTACAAAGTTCCACTATTAGAGGGCGCAAATTTTATGGTTGTGGAGGATGTTTTTTTAAGGTCAATTTTTCGACATTGTTACTTTTTTTAAATGAACCCTCATATTATTTGTTCCATATTCTTATAGGATTAAAACACAATTCAGTAACTTTAAGAATCATACTATTTCAATCACGCAGTTTCGAGAAATTGATATGTCCCAACGTTATCGTGGTATCAGTAACTCATAGATTTAATCTGTTAATTTTATTATTGTTAATACATATATACAGATCTGTATGTTTATTACATTTAGTTGTATGCACTACAGATCCATGAGTATTTGATTCGCTATCGGAAATCGATCAACCATATGAAATAGATGTATTGCAATGATCAAGAACATTACCTACATAATTCATTTATATGAACTGTGAAATTGCTTCTTAATAGATGTTACGTTCATTGCGTACTTACGCGAATCATAAATAATCATAGACGTTACGTGTCTAGATTAAGTACAGAGGATTGACACTGCCAGAAGTTGTCACCCTCCTACCTCGTCAAGGGAAGTCACCGAGCGCGGAATCTGTATTTTGGTTATTACTTACCGGTGACGTTCCGACGCAAGAACAAACGACTTCGTTAATTACTGATTGGACTATACGACGTCAAAGAAGAAAATACTGGTGGTCAGGGCCTGGAGGGGGGATCGTTGGTTCTATCCTTCAAACTCTTCCAAAAACAGTTACACCCTTGGGGAAATTATCAGTGGCCCTCACTGTCTTCGATTCCAGCAAACACATGAAAGAAGCTTTGAAAAATCGAGCTTCGACTTACACGTATTGGGAAGTGAGTTTTAGACCAATTAAAACAAACTTAAAAACATACTACAAGCGTTCAAAATTTATATTACAAAATGGTATATTGAATAAGATTTGAATATTATAGTTGACTATGTTTCACACGCAACTTCCGCGTATAAAATTCATTTTTACTTGTAAGTACACGTATGAAGATAGCATGGAATTACTTGCTACATTACCCGCAATAGTTGGTTTGATTGCCAAAGATGGGGGATTGAACAATGTCAAAGAAGAAGGTGACTGGGTACAATTTCTAACGGAATGTTTAAGTGACGCATACGGGATCACAGAAAATCAGAAGAAGACAATAGTAGACTTTCTTCGACTGTATGTAACATTAAATGCGTAAGTGGTTTAGATTCTTTATCACCATTACTGTCATCTGAATTGATACAAATATGTAAGAAATTTGCAGGTAGATGTGATACCAACCTTTAAGGTTTTCGCATCCCTTAATTTTTAAATTATAATTTTAACATACTCTGAGACAGATGTTGGATCATTATCTGACATTGTATATTAATGTTTATATAATGTATTAATGTATTTTATCAAAAGTTTTTTGTTAATATCTCAAAAAGTAATAAATACTCAGAGCTACAATTTCTTTATGCACTTTCTTCCACTTTCTCAAAATTTCATATCAATCAGCGAGAGGTGCTTTTCGGGACAATATTCACGAACATTACTTAACTTATCATTTGTCATATTTAATGTGAATTGTGTCAAATTTTATTTTTCTAGAGACGACGATGGAGGTATTCCTGCTATTCATATTACAGAAATACTTGGCGCTACTCAAATAGATGTAAATCAGGCATTGTCTGCTGGTATTTTAGCATACACCGATGAACCAAGGAGTGGTACCATGTCACAAGTAATTTAAACGATTACATGTCAAATGTAATGTGTGTCAAGTCATGATAAAATTATATGGACATGAAATTTAATTACGAGATGCATTCATAGCAAAATCAAAAAGCGTTTCGAAAATTAGCGTTTCATAATTAAATTTCTTATGTGTATACATATTAAGCTTTACATTTTATTTTAAAGTAAAACTCTTGATATATGAATGAATAACCTAAATAAGCTATTTAAATTAAAAATATTTTCAATCACGTTTCTTATAATTGATCTATAGTAAATATTTTAATAGATTGTGCATATTTGCTATTTATTTAACACTCAATTTTATTTTAATGACACAGTACATGGAATTTCAATCGAAAATACAGGGACTTCTTGGCCGTGAATCAAAAGAAGAAAACATAAAGAATTATGTCACATTGATAGCTAAAGATAAGCTAATTGGTTGTAAGGAAACAGAAATTTCTGATCCACGATACTCTGCACTATTACATTACACTATGGAAAATATGCCTGACAATTCTGATGTGAAGGTACATAAATAAATTATATTACATAATTTTACTTCAATATCTTATAGATCGTTGATGATACGAAAAATCGTATATATCTATGCACTTGCTCCAATAGCGTTTCTATTGTTCAAAGGGATGTTGAAAATTTCCTTTTGAAATTCTGTTCCGAATTGGCGTCGTTCCCCATTTCATGGCTTCAATATCGTCCAAATGTCCAACCCGTATGGCATTTTTTATCTTTGGAAATAGAAAACAGGTCTAGCGAGGCTAGGTTATAGGAATTTAGAGGGTAATTTCACGTTGTTTCGCGTTGATTCCCTGTTCTCCAAAAAAATTAGTTAACATTGAAGTCTTTTTAACACGTTGTACAAAAGAAAATCTATTAATATTACACAATGTCCGCCTCCATACTAAACGAAAAGTATTCCATGTCTCGAATGGTTTATAAGATGTGCGAGCGTTGCCAGTTAAAGAAAACAGCCTGTATATTATTCAAATGTTCATACATATACTTAAAAATGACAAATTTTGTTTCTTTTTCCTTTTCGGATACTTTTATAGTTGTCTCGATCTATTACACGAATACTAACTACAATGATGAAAACGACTAAAGGAAGAACATTTTATCCGGAACAGACAACTATTGCAGCACCGGTTTTTCAGGTATGAACATGATATTATGTACATATTTAGTGAAACGATGAGGCACAGTGAAATCTTCAATACAAGAACTTCAATATAATCAATTTATCATTATCATTCCATAAATAATACGGTTTTTTATACTTTCAAAAAATTCGACTAGAGTCCGTATTTTTCAAATCACTGAATATTATAAAGCTCCTTATTCCATCTTTTCGGAGGCAACGATTCTATTACATTAACGTTTAAATAACAGAATCTTAACTTACAATTAATTCTAAATAAGAATATAGGTATTTAAAATTACATCTCAAAATCGGAACAATTTTTACGGTAAACTGAATGAAACCACCGAGAGAACAGTTCACATTTTTTCAAGTTCAATCTATTATGAGTAAGTACTTAGTATACGGTTCAAATCTTCATAGAACGTTATTTGTCACGTGAAGTTCTGAATTATTATGGCAAATACAGTAAATACAACACAATACATACAACGATAGTACTACTTAAATAATCATATCTTTAAATATGTATTTTTCTTTGTTTTAGGCTTACGGATTAAAAGACATGAAATTTAATCAAGTGTTATTGTGCATATCAAGAGCACTAGGTGCAATAGCATCTATTATTTGGGCAAGAGCTGTTAATGCACCAGTTGAGCATCCAGCTTCAAAGAGCACGTATAGCTACTTAGAATCTATTCAGGGGATACATCGAAACAGAAAACGCGGAAAACACATCAAAGATTCTCGAAAATAAGTGTATAACATTTCATTAAATATCCGATTGTTTATATTACTCTAATGATTCTTGTTGCTGTTTACAGTTGCGTGTAAGTGAAAATATATAGAAGTTTATATCTATTGTATTTTTTATGTTTCTTTAGAATTTCGTGTTTATAGATTCTTTATATATGCTTATCGTAATAAATATATCCTTGTCGTTTTTTAAAACATAAACTAATATTTATACTGCTTTCATTAATTAAAATTTTATTTCTTTCGATATTCGACCTACAAAAAAATAATTTGCACCATCTGATGTTCTCCTTTGAAGGAAACAACTTAAAAAAAAAACATTTCTTGATCAGTTTAATCTGTATGGTTAGAAAAGATCATTTATTGACGCAGTAAAGCGTCGGTTACCCGAACTAATCGGGAGACAATTCTGTCCAGACAAACGATTATTCAGGTAATTAGTCGACAATATTTAATTTATCTTCTAATTGTAACAGCTGTAGGTAGTTGAAATGTAAATTTACATATGTATAGAAATGATCCATTCTCATAATCAGTCATTTGGATAATCGACATTTCGGCATATGTATTCAAATAATTGACGGCCTACTATATATATATTTTGAAACAATTAATATTTATTAAAATTTAATTTAATTAAGTACATTGAGTAAGAGTATATTCTGCACAAAACTTACATTGTATCTTATAGATATACGTACTTGTATTTACAATTAAAAATATTAACACTGTACAAAAATATATTCATTAAGGAAACAAAAATATATTTATTAATTTCCTGTTCATCTACTTATTCAGATATTATTCTCCGTGAATATATCCAAGCACACAATATTTTCAGAAGAATATTTTATATAGGAATACATGTGGTACATCTGTTAATTTGGTATAAAAATGTGCTGAATTACTTTGCAATCATCTTCCTTGCGAAAGGTAACAATTCATAGAAATATGAATTCAATATTATTTACTATAACCCGACAGTGAAACAATCTATTTATAGATTACATTATTGTGATTAATAAAAGAATTAATCAAAACTATTACATAATCGAAATACTATAACAAAATATTATGATTAAATGATATAATATACTTAGTCGTTAATACAATTACCTTTTGTAATCTATCAGCTACTAATTCATTCAATTATATGTATCACAATTCATTTAGATAACAGTATAGGAGAAGGTAGTATAACCGAACAAAGAAAGATAAACTTTTTCAAATGGATTTCTTCTAATACCTTATTCTATCCTTGAAATTATAACTTTACAAAACACTATGAACACTTGGAAACAGCTAACATAACAATTGACAATTGATAGCAAATGATACACAAAGCTGACAGTCTAGTACATGTGAATAGTATTGATCTTCTATACCTTATGAATAAAACAAAAAGGGGGGGCTGGATCACATGCAGATTACAAACTGACAATTCCTTAATTCTACTTTTAAATCTGCATAGTGCTTGTAATAATTTCAAAATGGCAATTATTCAGTTCTAAGCAGACCGCTATAAATATTATTATACTATTTAATAAATACACATTTCTTTTAATTTCACATTATGCTTTATCAAATTGGTGGAGAATATTTATCAATAAATGTTGATTTTGGTTGGTAACTATACATGAAAATTGAAGAAATTACTAAAATAGCACCTAATGAAAACTGAAAAGTCAAATTGAAGTCAAAAAGATATATGGAAGCTATACAAGAAATAATAATAGCTAAAGATGTAGCAAAACCTTTAAGTATATTATCAGCATATTTAACTACCATAGCAACAATAAGACCACCTCCTGCTTGAAGAACAACTAAATAACAAACAAATAAATCATACCCAAAGAAGAATCCTTGTTTTCGTATCATTTCACTATCATTTATAAAGCATGTAATTAATCCAAAGGGTAATGACAGTAAGCTTAATTGTACATTTCTCATCCACACTGATATATCTGAGTCTTTAAGTATTTTTTCAAAGTATATACCAGCTAAACCTGATAAAAAGCATGCACTTAATGCGGCGGAAAAACCTAATATATGATTTTGTTCTATTCCAGATGGTAAAGTAGTTTTTGAACTTTGAGCTAATTGCACTAATACTACTCCTATAACTAACAGTATTAGAGCTCCCCATTGAGTATTTCTTAAGGATCTTCGCAGTATCACTACTGCGAAAAATGCTGTTGTTAAAATTTTTAGTTGGTATGTCACCTGAAAAGTAATATATGTAGAAATATTAAATAATATAAAAGATCCAAATAATATCCTGAAGATAAATATTATAAGAGATAATGATTTAAACCTGATAAGTTGCTGCATCTAGATTAGATGCCGATACGTATAAAAGATTATTTTGTATAATATACAAAAGTGATGGCACACACACTTTTATAGTGTCAATAGGTTGTTTTATAATTGTCAGTTTTAAAGATTCACAAAACTTTGAATACTTTTTTTCTTCCAAGAAAACTAATATTAGACATGTTATAAGCTTAACAATTTCTGCCATAAAAACAGCTAAAACAATAAAAAACATACATCAGATTTAGAAAATAATTTTGTTTATAGTTTGTATGTATTAACATACAAAAGTATGAGATAACTACCTGTTGAAGAAAGGAACATATCATCTGATCTCGTACGTGCATATCGCATACTAAGTCCAACAATAGCATTTTGCAATGTCAGTGTAATTAAACTAAAATATTTTAGTGTATGACCATTTCCTATAAACCAAATTTCAAATATAAAATAAATATTATTTTTATATGTTGTGACTTGTTTAATAAAAATACAGAATATAATTATACACTCACTTTGCTGTGTTTTTGAATTAGATACCATGTTTCTTACTGACAATTCTTTTAAAAAGAAAATTAATAAATCATTTTATCTGTAAAATAATACATTTGTTACTGAAATTACTTTCGCAAATTTCTTTACGCGACCTATAAATGTTCCAACATTAACAAAAACTATACAAATTTTTATTTTAAATTGATTTAAATCGTTTTTAAAAAAATTAATTTTATAAGAAAATAAATCTGTTTAATTTCACTTTTCAAAGTGCAAATTAACATAAATATTTACAATATATTAATTACACATCTAATGCATATAATACAAAATAGTTATTATCTTTCAATAATACTTGAAAAGCTAATCATCTTACCTTTTTTGCATTTTTATTATTAAAATGTCATACAGTCTGATAAGCGTACACGTTGGCACTTCCCTGGAGTCACTTTCTATAACCTATACATGGAAACAGATGCCACAAACAAACTCAACACGTGAGCAATATGCAAGCCAGTCAGGTACTACGTATATATGTAACTATCGACCCCACTTTTGCATCTGACAGTTTCATTGAACATTCCTACTACTTATGCCATGGTATTCAATAGCAAGAATGTTAAATTTTTTAAAAATTTCTTTGTATAATTATAAAAAAAATTCTTTGTTTACGTTTCCATAGTTGATTGGAGTCTTATTAGGATCAATAGAGATTGCAACTATGTATATTATTGATATTAGATTTAATAAATGATCAATGTAAGCTTAAAAATAAAACTAATAAAAATTTGTTTTATTTTTCGTAGTATATATTACAGATTTCAATGAAATCGAAATGGATGATCAAAATGGAGATTAAAATGAAATAAAAAATAGTTTGGTTATAACATGGAATATATTTTCAACTGCAATAATTGAGTTTTTTCCTAAAATACTATCTAGAAGTAATTAAATTGTTAATTGATGTGATGCATAGATAAATACGTACATGTATGTAGTTACATAAACTTAAGTAAAAAATACCGATTAAATCATTTTGGAACTTTATTTAAAAACAAAACTATGCCTACATAAAAGTTTATCAATGCCGCATATTGTAAAAATACTGTTAAAAATTCTTTTTATGAGCAGACATTTTGAATTTACCGCGTAAAATTTACATTTATATTTCTGCGCTTTGCGACGAATCAACGAGAGTATCACAGGTATAAAGTAAAACGAACTTGTTTGAACTATGTAATGTGTTCATGTGTATATTCAGTTACGTTTTATACGTTTTACCAGTTTAAAGATAATCTAACAACATTGTACTATTTGTTAGTCTGCCTGTTGAGAACTAAGTGAATGTAAATTCAGTATTGATCAGTAATAAAATATTGTAACCTGAGCATAATACAATAGAAGCTAAGTTGTAAATTGCAAAATTCTACAGTATGATCAAAACACCTGTGTCTGTTTTGCAAGAAATGATGGTGAAGAATCAGTCAGTGCCTAATTATGAACTTATACATGATGGAGGTGGTACGCATATGAATACCTTTACCTATCAAGTTACATGCGATGGACTCATAGCAGTTGGCACTGGACGTTCTAAAAAAGATGCAAAACATGAAGCTGCAAAAGCAATGATAGAAGCTATAACAGCACAAAGAGGTTATCCTCAACTTCCAGCGTCACCTTCACAATCACCCCTGAGAACACCTTTGCCTCCAGTAATTCCAGAAACTGAAAGGCTGCCACCCAATGTGCCATTCGTAAATGCTGTGGGTGCTTTAAAAGTAAGGCATATTCTTTATTCCTTATTCATGGAATTATAGTAAAAATATTAATATATTAATACATATATTTATGTATTACTGTATACATACAGGAAGTGTGTGATGAAAACAACTTACAAGAGCCTGAATATGTACAAATTAGTGATGTTGGACCACCTCATGCAAAGATTTTTACTTTTGAGTGTTTAGTAGCAAATTTTAAAGAAACTGGTATAGCAAGAACAAAGAAACAAGCTAAACAAGAGGCTGCTAAGAAAATGTTACATAAAATAATAGACTTAATAGATGATGTTAAAGATACAGACTTTTATCAAATGGATTCAAAGGACAATGAGGATGAAGATGATTCTTCTGCTATGGCAAAATCTCTTTATCCAACATTATCAAGGTTACCTTCAACAAAAAAAGTTAATCTAGGTTTAAAGTTATCTGAATATCATATTCAGCTGAAAAAGACTTTTAATGTAAATGTATGTAATGATCTCATTGAAAAATTAAAGTCTCTTATTCCACATGATCATAGTAATGTTTCAAAAGAATTTGTAGAACAGTTGGAATTAAGTTTAAAAAACGTTTTATCAACTGTGGAGATAGAAGTTACACTTATGGATTTAGATTGTACAAAGACCAATTCGTATTGTAAACTTATAAAATTTAATACTTCTCCTGAGACGGTACAAATTGCAACAGGACAGACAGAAGAACAAGCTACATTTAGTGTGTTACTAAACTCAATTAACTTCTTGATATGTTTGCTACAATAAAACTGGAATTATCAAGTATACAATATACTGAAAATGAGTTGGTATTAGAAAATGCTTTATAATGAGAGTACAGTGTATAGTTTCGTAAAGTATTTTTAGTAAAATGTATACATATTACAATAAGCATTATGTAAAAAAATTCATTTATTATGCAAAAATTTTTCTAGTAACACTGAAATTTATTTTTTGTTACACATTTTTCATAAAATACTATATTTTCAGTTAAATTCAATTTAAAAACTCCTAAGTTTGAGAAAGCTTTACACTAGGGTATTACTAATTATAATTGTTGCTTACTGTTTTTACTTGGCAAAAGTAAACGATATTTGTAATGTGGTCTCTTTTACATTTATCATCTATGTAATACTTATTAGCAAATAATTATAAGGATTAATAATGTATAGTCATATAATTTAATTAATTTCAAATATATGTAAAAAATATTCTATTTGAAATATTTTTTACATGGGAGAAAGTAAATCTGTAATTGTAAGGAAGGGCTTATATTTTCTTAAATCTTAATATAAATTATTTTTCTTTTACAGAATTTGGAATAAGTCATGATCCAAATTGGAAATATGTTAAATAATAATATTATTAATATCTTACGCTTATTCCCTAATTTTGGAAAATTGTTATTTTTTCTTTAAACGTGTTTACTGTAAGTTACACTTGATTTCATTTATGTTGATTTTATTTTCTAATAATGTTACTTTAATACGAAATAATTATATAGAATTTTCTAATTTTTTTTATTATTTTATAAAATGTTATCCACATAATGAGTAATATACAAATTTATGTTCATTGTTTCTTGAATTTAGTTATCGATAGTCTGAATATAAAAAAAATGAAAACTTTTTCTTGAAAATGTACAGTCAGTCACAAAAATCTATATGTAACACATACTGTGGGGTGTGACGCGTATGGTCGGATACCGCAGGTATATTCGGACCGTTACCGACCGGGATCGGACCGGGATTAGTATTTGTTGGGTTTAATAAATAATGATACTTCTTTATTTATTAAATAGAATACAAATCTTATTACAACAGGACTATTGATACGAAGGACAAAATGAAAAAAAAACAAACCAACCAACTAATAACAAAATCGTTACCCAGAACAACAAAACATACGTCGATATGTATGTATATATTATATATATGTGCTATACTTTTCTAACAGTATTTAAGACGAATGTAAGGCCTTTTTTAGAGGAGTGTAGTTTCGTAGTTGAGAGAAGAGGAGCAGGGCAGAGTGGACTAGCGAGGGGGAGGGTAGTTTGAGAATGTAGAGTAGTAGATCAGAGTAGACCAGCGTGGAACAGCATAGTATTGCGTAGAATAGAGTAAGATACATAGTTTATTTTAATTCTAGTCACTTATAGTCCACTTCAATAAAGATACAAATATATTTGTGCTAGTTCTCGCCAAAATCTCCGGCATCCCACAATCTTTTTGGCGGCTCGTCCGGGATTGAGCGAGCTGTGAGATCAAGGCGTGTATTTGTAATAATGGATTATGTGGATTGTAAGGACTAGACAAGCGTGGTATATAAAAAAAAGAGTCAGTGAAGTATAAACCAAGAAGTGTTAACGGTGAAGATTTTGTTATTAGGTGTCATGAATACTTTTTTTATGAAGTTCCGCAATACAGTTAACGAAAATTGTGCGAAAGATAAGTATATGTGAAATTTTTTGAATTAAAAGTTTTAAGTTTTTCTCCTCCGGATATATTATTATTATATAATTGTAATAATAATAATTAATTTATTACATTATTATAATAATATTACACAAGGGATAGAATTATTAGGGACACATTAGGTCATTACAAACTTGTTTTTATCGTTATTTATATTTCTACTCACAAGATGAAAATAGCCTTCAATAGTCAGGATGGGAAATATATTTTATGTAATACAGAGAGAAGTTAAGAGATTGTATAACTTCTTTTCACGAAAGTACAGTAGTAAAAATTAATGAAAGTAGAAAAAATATAAATAAAAATTCTTCCTTTTTTTGTACTACTTGAAGTGAGTAAACAAAATGATTAAATTATAAATCAAAAGCTTGTTCATATATTCAGTTAGTAAATTTTATCGCACCTTTGCGATTTATAAGTATGTATACAGGGTAATGATAAGAAGTGTAACCCTATAACGGAATCAACAGAGTATAAAAGGTTATCAAATTTGAGTAAAAAATACTAATTAGTTTTAAAAGTCTTAAATAAATTAAACTTTTGTCAACATACGTGCGTAGTTTCTTTTGATAAATCGGATATATAAAATTGGATAAGTTACGTATAGATTCTTATGAGTCTAATGCTTCTGTGTAACAATGTGTGATTGGTTCGGCTGTTTTGCAGATCAAGAAAACACTGTAAGCAGAATTTATCATCCTCTAATTGTTCAGTAAATCGTTTACTGCATAAATCCAGTTTGAAATTCATGTAAGGCTATAGTGGATGATTTTGCGATTTTAAAGTTATAGGAATGATATTATCTATAATTTCGTGTTGTTTCTCTCAATGAATTTTCAGAAACCAAACCGCATTTGTAATTTTTCTCTATTGTAGGGGATGGTTGTTTGTTTATATTAATAGGCGTTTAATTTGTTATATTATTTATAGAACACAGAACAAGTTGTCTAATTCTGTCAGCTTGAGTTACTTGTAAAATGATTGTTATTTGAAAGAATGTTTTAAATAAATATTCTATAGCATCGAAGGGGCGTAAATGTAATTAATTTTTTGTTATATTGCTTTCTTATTGGAATATGAATTAACAAAAACAATTATACAGTTAACAAACAAGTAATCAGAAGATCAGTTACTGGTTATAACAGGCATTAAAGAAATAGATGAAAACTTTTCTAAAATATATCACTTTATTTTATGTCGCACAAGAGCGCTACGCCTCGGAGTGTCCAGTGTCGAGGATTGTGGTCGGTCTCGAAGTCGATCGATCCTATATACTTTGTATCCGTCCTTTGTGGTTTTCTATATATAGGACACTCGTAAAGCTTTGGATCCTTGCCTGCAGTTGTGTTTATCGCGTAAATGTAAATCACAGGCATCTGTTCGTATAGGACCTTTGGCTTACTTTCTACCAACTTTGCCGTTTTACGATCAAGTGAAGCACCTTCCAGGAATAGACCGTGAACGTAAACTCCTTCCTGGGGCTGATTTTTAATGTCTTCCTTATTGAACCTCGTAATTAAATTTTGCAGGACGACGGAATCCAGAGCCCACCCCTTGTGCGCTCGCGTCACCTCCTTCAACGTATACAGAATTTTTTAAAAAGGTGATAATATATTTATCATGCATACATTTTTTCACCTTATAGAATAATATTTATGTACTTAATCCATTTGCTGCCGGGGAAATTAAGAACGTCTTGCACTAGATGGCAAAAATTTATTTCAAAAACAACAAAATTATTTCCTTATTTATTATAAGTAATTAATTATTATTTATTTTTCCCTAACATTGTCGTTCATGGAAAGTAGTAGTTAATTCAAACTTATAGCGCAAATTAAGGAGATATCTCGTAGCTGGCAGTAAAAGAAGTAAGTTCTAAATGTTCTTAAATGACAATGTGCCAAACTTTGAAATTATGAAAAAATAAGAGAGGAATACTTCATATATTTTAAGTTTAAAGTGTATTAGTATATGTTCCTATAATGATTAGAAAGTGTAATTATTTGCTGCCCAAAGATAAATACGTAAGATATCCTATCTTTTAGTACCGGAATTTTCTAATCATTGAGAAGTTCCATATTTCCAAACTGACAATAAACGTCGAGATTATTGAGCTTGTTTCTTTATGAAATCTACCACTTGTGCGTGTAAAATAATATGTTGTAACTAACTTGTCGCATAGCAGTTAAGAATCCCTGGGGGTTGAAGAAACCGGTCATCCAGAAAACTTTTGGTCTACCGTGGCTGCACCATTGCCTAAACTGATGGTCTCGTTCTAATAATTCTGTGTACCAAAATCCGAGCGTAGCCGATTCCCACGATATTTTCAGCCATCTTTCTGGTATACGGGCGTCATACATTGCATCAAGTGATTTTCGTAGACTTTGACTCATTACGATAGTACCCTCGATAGCAAGTTTCAGGTTTGTTAGAGTACTACGTACTTCCTTTATTACTCTCGTAATTCTGAACGGATGTAAAAGTTAACGAAACTTGTCACTCTATAAGAAAAAACTGAAGATTTGGTAATCGTACCTGTCGACTTCTTGTCTTAAAAATATATTCATTGGTAGTAACGCTCCCATCCGTTGAAGAGCTTCCTTCACTTCAAAAGAATTATACTGATTCGGTAATTTGTGTAACATGTCGCTAGCCAGTTTGTACACAACATTCTCTCTAGTTTCACCCCCTTGTGCTCCTCCTTCTTTGGGTTGCACGCTTAAAATTGTATCGAGTATTCCTTTCGCTGTATTAATTTGATAGGTGATATCAGCGTTTGGATGTAATCCGAACACTTCCGGGGTATCCGTGGCAGGCAAACCGTCAATGTAATCTAGGTATCCTTGAAGATTCCGACTTTGCGGTACCTTATATCCGCGATAAAATTCGAAACCGGGACGCAGCAGTACATCGCAGAACCAAACGTGAGTAAATGTAGTCAGTAATCGTTTATCGAAGTCGTCCGTGACTCTACCTCCATATTGGACCTGCATTCAGTGGGACGTGATATGAAAGTACTACTTTCTGTACAACTAAAACTCAAAAATTCTTCTCTTAAAACTAAAATTTGTATTCAATTGACTTCAACTTGAATTCAATAAATTTCTAAGAATAAAGATTGTATATATTCTTTTATAATATATAGAATAACATTATTTTAAATATACTTCTTCATTATTAAATCGATCTCCATTTAACTAATGACACTAATTTGAGGTGAAATCCGATAATCCGAAAATAATAATATCATTTTGTAATGAAAGATTTTTACCTCTCCAAGCATGTAACAAACGGTTGGCCATGACACCCCCCTTTTTGGGTCCATGTCGTCTAAATGATTCTGTATAAACTGAATTGATGCCGCGAAATCAGCCTGATTAAATTCATACGGTATATTCCAACCAAGCGGCCCAAATTTTCTGCGTTCTTGGACAACCGTGTGCAAAAATGCCACAGCGTACAATAAAGGCGGCCATTGCGATTGCGTACTATAATCCAATGTGTCTTGCGTGACACTTTGGTATGTTCTCTTTAAACTGGCTCTAATACCCTGAGGGGGTTCGTTTGTGTATTTGATCGCCATCTAAGATAAATGTGATTGTTACACGCGAATATAAATCACTTTCTCTATTCCAATAAATGTCAATAGAAACCTGCAATAAACCAATAGGAAATTGTGTATGCACTTCAGTAGTCATCCAGAGTCTGAACACTTCGTTGACCGTTTCCGTTTCAACGAGTGCATCCATAACTTCCGTACAGAATGGAAGAGATAAGTGAATATTCTGCAATAGTACCCAGCCACCAGTATTCATGGCGTCCGATATCAATCTGCGAGCGTGAAATTCTTGACCCTGGCCCATGGATACTGATCTGAGTTCTAAAATATAAATCAAATAATAAAAAAGATCTTTCAAAAGTGTCATACGATAAATATATAAGATAGATAATAGATGAAATAATAAAATAAAGATACGATAAGAGATAGAATAAAAAATAAGGTTCTAAGGATCTTGATTTTTCGTTTGTTACGATTAAATGATAAATTAAAGCATTCAAGTTTTTCTTCGCTGATTATAGTGTGCAATTTTGAATTCACTTGATTAATTCTGCTTCTACTGTTCGCCTCTTTTGTCCTGAGCCTCGCTCTGACGGTTAATAGGGCAAGGGGCAAGGGGATATGTCCACTCGCAAAGCTCGGTCTGGTAGTTACGGTGGTTCAGTTTCGACACGTTCTTTTTATTTTTCGAGTTGCATAACAAAGAACTCAACCAAAATGGAATACAATGAAGTGTAATGTACTTACGAACATGTTTACCGAATCCCAAGGATACGGAATCTCGGCTATTGTTTCTTGAAAGGATTAAGGTGGAGCGTGCGGCTAATTCCCCTTGCCCTCTTGCCCCCCTGCCCGTTAACCCCAGCGTCGCATATTTGTGTCGGCCGTAATCCTATATTTTATATAATGAAAATGAAATTAATCCTATAGGTATTGTTACAAGAAATTATAAACTACGACATTATATTTAGGAAGCCAATGACTCGTTTCAGTTTGATTTTTCTAATATTTTGTTTAGAAGATTTATTGGATTGAAGAAAATATTATGATTGAGGAGACTGTCACCGAAATAAGCATTGATAGTAAACGTGTTAATCGTCAGGGCAAAGCTAAGGACAGAGAGGCGAATAATACCATATTTTTTACCTATCCACTTTACTTACGAATTGATTTTTGTTTTGCCAACGCCGTTATCTGTGGACTAGGGTCAGATCCAATCGATAATATGCATATAAGCGGAGTCCTGACTTCTGATTCTAACCAAGTTGCCTCTAAATCTAAAATCTTGGCTTCCCCGTACTCTTTCCCCAATGATTCAATCACATATTTCCTTGACTGCGACAAGGTCCTGTCCGGACTCCATGATCTGATCAAAAGCAATTTTCTAAATACGTCCAATTTCTTCTGATACCCGCAAGGGAGTTCTTCTTCTTCGGGTTTTTCTTTTTCGTACCATATCCTCCATTCTTTCTCGCTAAATTCGATTTTTGTCAAAACGTCCGAGAAAACCGCCAACTTGCTGATTTCTACTAAATTCAACCAAGTTATGTCGAGAATCCATCTGAATGGTTTTGGGGTGACAGCATTTAGATCCAAAGAAGCGCCTCCTTTTATGAATGCATTGAACTCTGCGTGGGATATCGTACCCCTGTGACAATCTATCTTCATTGCCAGCATTAACGTAAACAGTGACTTGTGTCTCTCGTATAAACTCCTCAAAGTGAAAGCCCACACTTCATAGGTCAAGTGGCGGAGGATTATACCTATTCGTTCATTGGTAATTGGACTCTTCGTTGATTTCGTGATTGAATTGTCAAATATAGTCAGAAACTGTCTTAATGAATTTTGGTACATGACATTTACGTTACTCATCTCTACGATTAGAAAATAAAGAATGGAACCTCTAGATGCGACTGCACGAAATTCTTCTCGGGCCAAAGTGATCTTCTTCTTCGTTAGCGCAGACACTTTCAGCTTCTCATTCACCGACTCCGCTGTCGTTTTGGTTTCTCTGAGCACGTTAATAAGCGCTTCGTCGTCTACTAAGGTACCCTCGGATGACGTCAGCCGATGCAAAAGTGTACTTTCGAGTTCTTTCATTGAACGTTGGTTCGTCATGACAGATTCAAAGAGAGCCACCCGTTCAGCTTCCAAATCTGCTTTTTCCATCAGAATTACTCTACCCAGCAACTGATCTTCTAAACCCAGCATGGTGACTGTAAAATCGATTATCGACGTCTTCGCTGATATTTCCGGACTGTACGCCGGATTCGGTAATTTTGTGGTGATGTACAACATAAAACCGGGCATCACGTCGCATTCCTTGTCACCGACGATTACTTTCTCGATGGAGCCAGATTTAATGAAATTCTTTTCGAGCACGTTATCGAGAACTGGATCCAGCTCTTCCGCTATGTCTTCTATCAACAATGGTCTGCCTAGAGACAAACTATCTTCAAGGTGTGTCCTGAAGTATTTGTGATTGAGAGACGTAATCTGTAATTCGTTTAAGCATTCCTTATTCTTAATCCACATTTTTCCTTGATTTTGCGGATCAACCAGTAAAGGATACGACGAAGATTTGGTTACAATTAGCGCGTTCTGCACAGATAATTCATCATTTGGTAGACCTTGAAGGGTCCACTCTGACATCGTCGCGCTATCGACTAACATGTTCGTGATGTTCAGATTTCTCGTGAAGGGAACAGCCTTGGTTGCTAAAATGTTCATCCAAGAAGACACTAAACTGGCTCTGTACTGCTGATTATAAGGACCGCAATACGACAAGAAGCCAGTTGCCAACAGAACATCGCCCACTAATCGTCCCAGTTGAACTTTAAATTCGCTGCTCTGTTCAGTCCAGCGTATCTTTTCACCTCCGAGACCGTTGATCAGAGCAGTAGCAGCTGTCATTTTTCTAAGACAAACGTTCGCAGCGTCTGTCAGTCTTTGTTTCTCGACAACTGCCGAATCATACTGCTCTTTAACGGCTTGCAGAGCCATTTCTCTTTCCGATAATTCTCTCTCTGCGTTAGCTAGGTCCTCCATTGCTACCTTCAGCCTAGCTTCCTGCAAAGCTAGATTGGCTTTCAATGGGAGAACCTCTTTATTAACGGAGTGGAAGAAAGCCATGGCTTTCGTCCAGGATAACAAGCCCGCTACGTCACCGCAAACTCGTCTAGCAGTCTCCATGTTGTAATCTTCCATCTTGAAATAAGGTTGCAGTAACTCTACCATCTCGTTGTTGATTATATCCTTTGGATAGTTTTGTAATTGGAGAAGGAAAGTCGTACTAGCCATTAGCTTCAAGGATTCCGCCCAAGATGGCTTCGGACAGAGGGCAGTACTATCTGGAACGACTGGACCAATCTTACGTTGAAACAGAATTAACACGCAATCCATGATTCTCATGATTAGATGTGGCGGTCGGCCCAGCTTTCTGACCGTAGCTATATGAGCTGGTTTAATGGTATTTAAAGCTGCTTCTGCTTCTTCTAACGCTGGCTTAGCAGCCTCTAGTTTCTGTTCAGCGAGTGCTTTCTCCTCAGCTATGCAAGCTACTAGTTGCTCGGCTTTCTCTTTTACTTTTTGCACTTGGTTTTTGAAAGCTTCCGCTTGCATCGCTCTCTCTGTTACCTCTAAAAGAACAGTTTCCGCCTTCTCGGAAGCCTGAACAAGTTCCTGTTCCATTACAGCGAGGTCCCTTTTCAAAATTTCTACCGATATCGACGCTTCTTCCAGTTTTGCCAAGCCAGTGTCCATTCTTTTAGCGCCCTCTCCGAGTTCGTATTGCTTGTTGTAATAGATATTCTTGTAACCACCAATAAAATTTAAATATGATTTCGGCGTGACGTGAGTGGCTCTGCGGAATCTCTGAAAATATTCTGCAGATGTCACAGAAACGATATCTTGTATGGAACCAAGCGCGTTGACCAGTGCAGCTTTAACTTCGTTGGTGCAAGCAATGTCAAAATCATGCAGGAAGTGCTTAGCGACTAAAATCAGAGCGTCTTTGGGCCACGGCTGAAACCAGTCGATTGTACATCCTGATATTAGAGCTGGGAAACGTTGAGCACGGTTTCTGAATTTTTCTCCCACGGGAGAGAAACAAAATACCACGTGTAGATTGTGACACGTCCTTTGAAGGAAGAACTCCATTACAAGCTCATTGTTGATCGAACGTTTTGGGTTCTCGCGTTTCAAAATAGGTGTTAGTTCCGAAATGATTTCTTGTTGTTCGTCCCGCGTGAATAAGTTGCTGATGACACCAGAACTGAGAATATTATTTAAATACTCCAAGAAACCTTCTTCTTTGATATCCAGATCGGTGAATATGAACGTGGTGCCTTTACCCTGGGCACCGCATGTCCGATAAAGGTACTTGAGATCTTCCAAGAAATTTGCTACGTTGTATGATCTTGTTAAAGTTATTTGGTACGTTTTGTAACCCGCGATAAATGAGGACAACTTCGTGAGACTCTGTTTACCCGATCCACCGACACCAACGAGCATCACGTTTCCTTTCGGATGCCTAATGACTCGGGATATTTTGACTAAATGTAACATAGCATCGGGAAAGAAGACTAAATCCATGCCGGAGCCCCTTTGCATTTCGTTAAATTGCGACAGGAACATCTCCAATCTGTCTCTCAGAATTTGATCATCGTAAACTGGTTCGTACACCTTTGGTAATTCCACGTCAGCGTCCTCACCTTCTTCGCCAGTAGGTTCTGGAGCGTCCCTGGAAGATAATGATATTAGCGTAATGACGTACATAATCGTTTGACAACTAATTGGACTCAGCAATTTTCTTTTCGACTTTCGTACTAAAAATGCTAGTTTAATTCGTTTCTTTACGCATTCGTTTTGATCTAACGCAGTTTGCGGATGTAATTTTTGTATATTTGGTTGAAGTAGGTTGCAGAGAACGATTGCTATACGAAGGAATCGAAAAAGTTATTACATCTAATCCTTACCTCATGAAGTCCACAAACGCAGGATTCTGATTCAACATATTCACGTATTTTTCCCCTAGCATTTCATTCGTGACTCGGATTAGTTCTTCCTTGAACCATTTCTTATCAGCTTGTATCGTGAATCTATCACTGAAAACTCGACTGCACTCGTGTTTCCACAGTAGCATCAGTACGTTCTCCTTATCAATGACAGTTGACAATGTGCCAACCATACCTTGCCAGATTCTTGACAAATCTCGAAGGCTGAACACATAATGAAACTTCGCCGGTGTTGGTAGCAAATTTGTTCTGGTTCGATTCCAAAGTATCCTAGTTAACGGGACCATTTTCTTCACGAGATTTCTAACTTCTGACGAGAATCCTCTTTTCATGTTGTAGTGTCCTTCCCCGAGTACACTGAAAATTCGATCAATGGATGCTTCGTCGGGCAAGGTGCAATTGAAAATACTGAATTGTCTCTTCAGTCTCGATGGAATGTCATTTCTTCCTCCGCCAGGTTGGCACATTGCAGCTAAGAACGTCACGTCCAGTATACTTGTGAAATCCCCGGGTTTCTCAAGGGAATAGAATCCTTTCATATCCATTGTCTGGCGAACAATTTCATTGGTGATTTGGTCACCCCACTCATTTATCTGTGGCAAGTTTACGTCGTCGATAAAGATCAACATTTTCTTGCCACCCGGTGGTCCAAACGTGTTTCCTAGACGTTTCTCCACGTAACTTTCAATTGTCTTTTGAAACTGGTATGGGCTTGTTGCCGAGCTAAAGTTGAACGAACGGCTCAACGTAGTTTCCGCATTTGCCTTCTTCATGTAAGACTTCATCATTACTGTCTTAGCTGAACCCTGTTCGCCTATGAGTAAAACAGCTTTATCCTGCCGTCCAATTAAATCGATCAGGTATTGTATTCTTACGTTGTCAGGTATTGGCACCAAAACGTTACTGTAATCAGGCGCAGAATATTCTGGATAAACGTAATTGGTTACCATACTGGTCCACGTATCCCATTTACCCTTTTCGGTTACAAAAAAATCGAAAACTTTTGCGTTAGGGTATTTTTCAGATACCGGTAAGTCTAAACTTTCAAAGTTTCCACGAAGGTAAGAATCGTATTTCTCTCTGTCAGGTGTTTCTAGAAGAGCTCCTATACTCCATACCAAAGTGAAAACGTAAAGACGTTTCAAGTGATCCGCTGTCATTGGTTGCCGTTTCTCTTCTTCTCTTTCTTCGTCCTCCTCTTCTTTGTCTTCTACGCTCTCAGCAGGAACTAAACCCTCCAGGAGATATAACATTTGTTGCACGATATTGCACTGAAGAACGTCTATGGTTAACGTCATCGCTTGAGTACTCCACGAATAAATCTGTGAAGTTATTTGAATAGGTTACGTTAGATTTGTTCAAACGAAATATTGTTCCCTTGCAGGAGTTTACGATAGAGTAGTCACATATGTCCTCAACGATATTTAATTGTCTACTTTTCTGCACTATGTTGTTAAAATCTTTTAAATTTGTAACATTGTAAAGGGAAAGAAACTTTAATTCATTACTGCGATTCAGGGCAAAAACGAGATCTTGGAAAAATTAAATTCGAAAATGTAAAGATAGTTTGATTCTTAAAATGAGCTTTCTTATCGCAGCAATTTAAATGTCGACAGTTGATTAATTAAAATTAGTGATTCTTTAATTTTAGGGGGTAAGGTATAACATCTCAATTATTGTTATTATTGTGTAGTCTCACCTGTGCAAAAGAATCTGTGAAGCATTGTTCAAAAACTTCTTGCTCCAAAGGTGTCCTCGTTTTCAACCAAGCGGTCACTACAGGATTCCAATCCAAACCAGATGAGCTCATATACACCATACCGTTACGAGACACCGTCGCCGGACTAGCGTTGTCTATGTTATGTGGTTCAAAAATGATCTTACACGTGGGAGCCATCGATAAACGATCACCGTTCGCCAGAGTCAGAGTTTTATTGTCGTCTAACACCGAATTTAAATTTTCAATCCAAATACTGTCGACCGGCCCATCCAGGACCATCCAAACGTGTTCCCCTTCTTTTAGTTTTAATGTTTTACGCCACAGGGCTGAAAATATGCCGTCCGTCCAATCGTTGGTGGCTACATCCAGTCGGCCAAACATTTGAGCAGCTGTTATGCTTTTTGGGTTCATTCTCATTTCTCTGTAAAGTCGATTTCAATTATGAATCAATAAATAAAATATGAAATATATAGTATGCAATACATTTATCTAATAATACTGGAAAAAAGTTCGTTGTGCACCGAATCATTATTCGATTTAAAAAAATGACATTGACATATGTGAATGTATTGTAGTTTCGAAGGAAATAGCTTGTAACTTTGTTACTTTGACTTATTCTGAACATTTGGTACTAATTACCTGTGAGCATCGCCGCATTGCGTTAACGACTTCATCAGAATTTGTATACAGGTTGTTTTCCCAGCACCAGTTGGGCCTAACGTCATTATTCCGTGTCTCACCCTCTGAGTTTCATACAATTGTATCAATTTCAGCACCCAAGGTGGATGGTAAATTAATCCAGCTTCTTCCACTTGTTGGTTGATAGCATCTTCTAATTCTGGGTAAGAAGTTTTCTCGAGAGCCTGATTAGGAAATAGATCCGCTACTAGAGAGATGAACAGTGGTTCATCCTCATCTGAAATGATCAACACTTGCAATACTTGAAAAATTTAACTTCGAAGAAAAGTCGAATTTTCATATTTAAAAACTATTTGTTTGGTGATTATTAAATTTACGCAAATGTTTTTTGCAAACAATTATTCTATACATCCTTCTTAGTAATGTTATGTAAGTACATGTAGCTTTATAACAACATAAATATTTAAAGATATTTAAAATGACACCTCATTTATTACTGATCTTCTCAAATATATTTCGATTTATTTTAGAAATTTAAAATGTGAGATGATATTATCAACGGAAACAATGAATGTTAGGATACATAAAAAAACGTTAGGTAATGTTATATATGTAATTAATGTGCTTCCGAAAAGGAGATTCGTCCATGAAGTTTCGTAAGGTAATAACAATCAGTAGAATAAACTTAAACTTATAAGTCGACTGTTCTATAGTAGAGATAATTATTTTTTAATCGCTTATTCTTATATTGACTGAATAGGTTCGCTAATTGTAAATAGTATTACCTATAAGTTTTGAAAGATTCATGTCCCTCAGAACTCGCATGACGATTGTGCTTTCAGAGTCTTTCGAATTCACTCTCTTCGATGCTCCCAAAGTTCTCAACACCGACAGTATATTTCTTAGACCAAAGTCATAATGGACCTTCACATGTGAATGCAATATTATACATTTTGAATCTTACAAAAATAATGAATTATTCCTTTTCACGCGATCACCTGTTTAGTAAGTTGCTCTTCGCACAATTTATACAGGGTGTAAAATTTCCGGGCGAGTGTAATGTTTTCCAAGAAACCGCAGCTGGCTAATTTCACTCGAATGATAATTTGTCTGTCGGGTACCATCATAGCGACGGTGCGAAACTGAATTTTCAGATTCTCTGGTAGTTCCTTCCTGCCAGCGTAGCCAGGATTCTGTAAAATGTGATTCATTATTGTGTTACAAGTATCGTTTACTCAATTGTGTTATAATAATGTTTTCTGTTCTAGCAATATTTATTTTCAACGTCTATCAGGAACACATGCCATCGGATATCATATTACTCTTATACTTTTCATTACCATGGTTATAAATATTCCGAGCTCAGGGCACATGTCTATCAGATCACCGTCTGTAAAAACGAATTGCTTCTTCTTCTCCCTCTTCGCGGCAAGAACAACAGCAACTTGCTGAGCAGCAACAGACAAAACAGGCAATTCGATTCTATTGAATTCATCGAAACAACCCCAGGATCCACTTTGAGCTAGGCCTTTGTAAATCCGTCCCAATCCTCTGTAGTCCATTTGATCGGAGCAGTTGAAAACCACTACGTATTTCGCTAAGGTTTTGCCCATGTCCTTGACAGTCTCGGTTTTGCCGGTTCCAGCTGGTCCACATGGCGAACCACCCATCGACATCGATAAAGCTTGAGCCAGTGTTATGTAGCACCTTAAAACCCGAATAAAGTAGGAAATAAATAAATTTAAAAGTTTTAAAGTATAAAATGTATGAATTAAAAGCCAAATCGGTTAAATTCATTTATTGAAGTTTTTATAATTTGATTGTCAGAACGTTTGATTGACTCTTACATAACTGTTTATGTTTAACAGTATTCAGTACAGTACTAATTTTTATAGTATTCCTGGCGAAAATGAGAAATGTTATAACATTTCTTTGATCTTTTATTTTCCTTTTCAGTGCAAAATTTGGATGTGTGGAAAATCTAATAATTTTAGTGTAGTTTCTTTAAGATTTATTAAAATATTTAATATTATAACTGGTGCAATATTGGAGCGTACAAAGTTCAAAGGGTTAATACTTTCCTTGTTACCGAGTTTAGAAGTATGAGGTAAAAGAGGCGAATAATACATCTGTGATAATAAAGTAAAATACATTCTACAATGTTTCTTTGATTTTACACTGAATGGTAAATGTTTAAGATTTAATGTATACCATTATCTTTGTGACGTCAATTGACTCAGTAGCTAAGATTGCACTACTCTTACCTGTCAGTTAATGGAGTGATAACGAGTCGTTCTGTGCACCCTAGATATTCATTCTGATACGTAAAATTTACATCTGTTATGCATATTGATGTTTTATCGAGATCTTCTTTGAAATAAAATCTGCATTGCTTCAACCACTCGAAATCGTTCACCGATCGTACGTTTAAGCGGCACTGTAAAGAAATTTTGTTCATGTTAAAAATACGTAAACAAAGTTTTGTTTGTATCATGTTTTATAAAGCAAAGTCAACTAAATGTTTGTCACGATGTTAGATAGAATAAAATACAATGTTCCATTCCCGTTTTTTTGTCTTTTAGGAATAACAATAGTAAAAAATATATGAAACGAAATGTTAATGATAAAAATATGATTTTTATATATCGATTAATATAAAATTATGTGATTTTTTAATAATTGAAAGAATATTGCAGGAAATAAAGTTACATGATATAATTTCCTGTATAATTTCTGTTTCAGCACTCTGATATTTAACAAATATTCTTCAAATTTACTTCTCCAATTATTTATTGTATATGTATGTGTTCTTCGAAAATCTACGTTAAGCTCACCAAATTTATATTCACAAAGTTTACCAATATGTCGAAGATATCACGTTGGTGCACGTGGATGGTGATTAATGTTTCAAATTTCGTTCGCTCGATTTTCGATAGGTCTCTGGTAGTTTGATCGATTAAAGTATTCAGTAAGTCAAGGAATCGGTTGTTTGTTTCCGTCATAATTTTTTTATCGGCGCGTGCTTGAGCCAGAGCTAATTCGCTGTCCCTGGTCCAAATCATTTGTATTCCGAGCAGTCCGATCTGGGCGGGCATTTTGTCCAGGAAACCAAGGAAATTAAAGTTCGCATCGTTGATCATAGAGTAACATTGTCGGATTATCGAATGCAGAGACTGCTGAGATGTTTGTAAAAGCTGCGTCAGCCATGTTTCCACCGAGCCTTCCGCTCTTACTGCTTTTTCGAGCTGTTAGATTTGAAATAATCTTCACATATCATTATTATCAATTGACAGCTTAATACATAATTATTATATTTAGAATAAATCTTCCACAGTAATGATATACTCAGTCTCAACTTGTAATTGTGAAATTCAAAAATCGTTTCGATTTTCTTCATTCAATAGTTTCTCCATGAAATACGTACTAAAATCGTTTCCCCCTCGGACGATATAACCGCGGTCATCTTATTATACTCGATGTCGTGAAATTTAACGTAACGCGTGTTGTCGAAGATAGAAAGAAGGTGGTTCTGTATCGTGTGAGAATCAGATGCTTGACCAAGGATTTCTAATAAAGCGGGGTCCGATACGAAGAAGAACCTCGGGAACATCATACGTTTTTTTTCCAAATACCTGACGAATGAATAATTTTATAAGTTTCTTTGAATTCTACTTGTTCATAATTTCAGAATTAAAATCTCCAAAGAATATGCAATTAGTTACCCGCTTAGAGATTTTTGGCATAATTCCAATTGTTCCTGTAAATGGGGCAAAAGTTGCTTAAGCAAATCGTCCCCCACGCAACAAGGTACCACCCCCGGAGTCTCGTGAGCTCTTTGCATGATCTTCTGCCAACTCTTATCGATTTTACTAAATCTTTTTGCCTCTTTGGGTAGCTGTTTCGCTATGTCACCCCCAACGAACACCGCCTCCAGGTAGACCCACATGTTCTGCACCAGTAGCCATCTTTCTAAGATTTCGTTGGTGTTCGAAAGATCCGTGAGCCATTGTTGTATCTGCTTGCGGAACGGCGCGTTGTAACGATTCGACATCAAGGAGCCAAGCACCATCAAACTGTCCTCCAGTTGACCGATCGTCTCGGCAGTAGAGTCGCCTCTTAGCAACAGCTCCCCTCTGTTGTTGAACGTCATGAACGTTAATTCGTGGGATGACCAATCGTTCACGACCATTCGTAGTTTAGCCTCGATGTCTTTTTCCTTCATTGCTGAGATGCAGATGTCCTCGATGTCCTCTTTATACTTCAACAATGGTGCTTCGAGAATGTTCTTCAGGCAGAAACCCTCGCTTTCCAGATCGAACGTGTAGCCTGTCACTTCCACGATTCTGTGCCAATGGCGCTGCTTCATGGCTTTGTTGGCCATCAACTCGAGAAGAGGGCACATGTCGTTGAAGTCGTCGATCGTCTTTTTCAGAGCGAAGAATGCCGGCCATTCTTTCAGTCCCTTTGGCAGCTTGCGGCACCGGTTTTGGAATTCCATTAGCTCGTTGTTTATATCTTCGATATTCACCTGAACGTCAATAATGGAATAATGTATCTGTACAGCATATTTCCTGTAGATTTAGTAATTATCATTCATCATCTTTTTTTCCCGGAACACAAAGAAATTTGTTTGATGATTTGTTTGAACGATACAAACTGTTTGATGATTTCATGCAACTCAATTTAACTTCCTAATCTTCTGGTAGATGAAAAATGAAAAGTAAAATACCATATACCTTTCTGCAAAATTGTGTTCCTTCTTTCACATTAGAACAAAGAAACTAAAATTAATACTTGTATACGAGCCTAGTGGAGTAATTTACGTTTGCGGAAAACACTTCTTTCCTATAACTAGAATTATTTCATTTGAAACACTTTACCTCGCCCCAGGGAATGTCGTAGTAACTATTCACTCTATCGATCACGTCATTGTACAATTTATACAATTTCTGTAGCAAATTCAGCTCTTTCCTGATCTGCGATAGTTCAGGGTAATCCGTGATGGGCAGTCCAAACAGTTCTTCGCCGCTTTGATAAGTCTGCAGCTTTCTCCACATGCCGTCGAATCTATTTTGAAATAGTATCTGTCTATCGGAGGCATCTCGTGGACTCAAACCCGGTTGCATGGGCCCAGAGGATCTGTACTCCTCGCAATACATTTCATTGTCGAGTCGGAATTTCTCGAGATTGTTTCTTAAGTCCTCTTCAAACTGGGGTTGCAGCTTCAACAACAGCACGTGACTCGCTTGCGCTCTCGTCAGCAACTGCTGCCACGTATACCTCAAATTGTCTACTTGTTCCAGGCATTCCTGGTCTACTGGTACTTCGTATCTCGTCACTATATTGAAAGCTTCTTCAATCGGATCGATCTTCAGCTCCATGTCTACTTCCTGTTCTCGAATCTTTTTCAGGGTGTCCATGATCAGACGCACGTCGTCCAAGTCACGGATTTGTCTGTCCAGTTTGCGTTCCATTTCGTTCATCAAAGCGTAAACGTATTCCATCTCTCGTCTATATTTCTTCTTCATAGCTTGGCCAATTTTGTGAGTACACGCTGTGGACATGACAGGTAAAATCTAAATTGGAAATATTGTCAAACGTATTTTCGTTCGTCTTATACATTTACATATTTGATGAGTGATTTTTGCAAAATCTCGCTCGCTTATTGCAGATCTAATCGTTGTTTCTCGTTATCTTCAATCATTAAGAAAATTTCATTTTTAAGATCAACCTTTTAACTTCAGACATGATGTGTGTATTATTTATAAAAATTATATGACTGTTTCTCCGAGAAAATGGTTCTATAGGTTTCAAATAGAGTGACGTAGGTATTATATTTGAAACATTATAAACGTTTGAATATATTTAAACAATTCTTAAAACGTATAAAATACCTGTCACACACAAATTTCTTTGGGTGCTTGTGATATATATCATGCGATACAGTAGTTTCATATATTTATAAATTTTTGACAATTCGTATCTGTTTATGAATATTCAAAAATTCTCTACAATGACAAATGAAAACTTGTACTTTTGATTTCCGTGTATAGGCCGTATTTCAGCTTTTCAGTAGATATAGCGATGGAGGTTCCAAAAATGATCATGTCTGGTTCGGTAGCTAAAAGGTCTTCAAGTTCGCTATGTTTTCGCAGAGTAGCTTCAAATTCTGGCAAGGAAATTTGCAACAATTCTCTCATGCTGCGTTCGTTCTTCCAGAGAAATTTGTATGGTTTCCATCGGTCAATAAATTCTACGAGATCCTACAACAATGATATCTTTCTTATTTTATTAAACTACATTTCTATTCGATCATTTAAAAATATATCGTAATTAATTACCGGTTTGAATTCCAGCATGCACGTGTTCAATATGGATAACAATTTCATTATTTCTTTATTATCCATCACCATTCCATAGAAATTGCTTTCCTGAACGGGGAAAATAGGTCTTTCTTCTGAGATAATTTTGTAGAGTCGTCGTCTTCTGGTTTTTGGGTCTTCTGGTTCCTCTTGTTTCTTCTTGGCAACTTGAATTTGAGCTCGCATCACTATATCGGCAAAGCTCCTCTTTGGGTACGCGTTTCCCCAAGAATTCTAATCGATTGAATCATTTTACGAACAATTAGTTGTAAAAGTTTTACTATGTTACATTTAAAAAAATGTATCGATAATAACTTGTAAATACTTGACAATATTCTTTATGAGATAGAATTTCTTCTTCTTCTTTATGTTCTTAATTAATTATTATGATTAAGAATTTAACATTTATCTATTTATTGTTGTATTATTTAGAATAAAGTTTTACTTTTGATATTTTACATTTCTTATCTAGTGTATACTTATGTCAGATTTGATACTAGCTTGTTGTAATAAAACTTTTTCTTCAATTCAATCAATGTAATTTATATTGTAATTTATTTTCCCATTATTTCAATTTCATTATAAAATATGAAAGGTAATACTTATCTTTTTTCATTATGTCGCGAATACAAAGTTCAGAAAATGACATTCACACACGTTAATACAAAATAACTATGTAGTGAATTTTAAATTCGGGGAATTACCTTACTAACTCTCGAATTCCATTGCGAAACTCCTTTTGCGACACCAGCAATCGTTTTTCCGACTAATGTTAAGACCTCCTGGACATCATCTAAACTGGGCTTCACTGTCACTACTGGTATCATCAAGGTTGCGTGTAGCAGAAATATTGGGCTCGGAGTCTGTTCTTTTTCAAAGATTATTATTAATTCGCCTTATTGTCTACGAAACTTCGAAAATAATATTTACACAAGGATAAATCATTTAAAACAAGTGTATAATTTCAATAACTTCTAAAGCTTTGAACGTTTTAGGAGAAGTATTGTGTAACTTCAAAGAGATTGTTACGTAATAGACTTTTTCTTAGATTAATCTGTTAATTTTTTTGTCGTACAATTTATGTTGACAGAAACGTTTCTACTTATGTTATTCAATTTTGTGGACATAACTATTATAAAGCAAACTAAAATATTGTAGGTTTAATTCAATTTATTTATGGAAATTATTGTAGTTGCGATACCGCAGTTTTATAAAATAAGTTACAAAATTAAGTATTGCACAAAGACCACGCGTGGGAGAGACTCGTTATTTTCATTGAAAGGGTTAGAAAATTTCGAGGTGATTTTGAGGTTTCTAAATGAAATAATGTGTTTTTAAATATCTGAAATTGCATCCCTTTTCAATTACTAGGATATTTCAATGACTATGGCCATTCAAGGACATTCAACCTTTCTGTTTCCAAAACTATACGAATTATTTAAGTACTTTATCTTAGATGATTCACTTTGTATTTTATTCAATTAAAATAAATACCTGGATTAATTTCTCGAATGAAACGTTTTCTGATCGCATCCAGGGAAGTTCGGGTAACCTTTATGAGAACGTCTACCACTTTTCTTGAATAATATCTTCTCATCTCCGATACTGCGTTTCGTACCATATCTTGCATCCCCTTGGGCAAACTACCTGGGGTAGTTAACAACTGTTGAGGATCGTCGAATAAATTCCAGACTAACGACCAATCTTGTTGAACCGTTTGGTCTATATCTTCCTCGGTTTCTATGAAAGCAATTATATGAAAAGTAGAAAACAATATCTGTTCCCTAAATCAAGATTAACAAATACCATATAATAATTAATTTCCTTTTGAATTTGCAAATTAGAGTTTGTTTTAAAAGAATTTTAATTTATTATTTTGACGTTTATAAATTAGTAATTAAGGATATTAAGATGATAAGGTACAATGATACTTACTTTTATGTACAGTATCTTTATTTATGTGCATATATTATGTTAACAAGCTAAAATTATAATTGAAAGGATGGGGTTATTCTGGAATATAATTCTATGCGTTAATAAACTGCTATGAACTTTTTTAATAGAATCTTTATACTTCTAGAGTGATTTTGAAAATTCAAAAATGCAAACTGTGTCGAGTAGAAAAATTGATAAAAAGATCTGTTTGAATATATTTTAATTTATATATCATTTCATATTTTTGATCTTTTTATATTTGTATTTCAAGTTTTATTTCAGAAATTATTATGTGTTTATATTATATAAAAATTTTAAGTATAAAGAAATATGCGTTTCTTATTTTTGAGTGGATATATTATAAATAAACTAGCAAGGATATTATACGAGAGGAAAGTAACTTCAGGTTTTACCTTCGCCGTTGAAAAAATCAAATTGATTGGAATTGGCGGCGCTTTTGAAGTTTTCAGCGGCATTCTTCACGAGATCGAGTACTTCCTCTACCGCCTCTTCCACCATCATACTTTTGCGATATAAATCTACCGCTGCGAGTCTACATATTTCTTCAGTCTTCTCCACAAACTCCTCGATCGTCCAAGGCTGATCACATTCTGGTAGTACATGTAAGGTGATCTTTTGCATACTTGACAGAACTTCCAGAATCCTTGTAACGAATCAATGTTAAAATCTTTGAAAAACTCAATATTTAAATATAAACAGAAATTCGACATGGAAACTTGGAAACAGCATATATAAAATTAAATTACAATACTTTCTAATGAGAAATCCAATTATATTATATAATTACACCAAACAAAACATATTTTCTACATAAATTGATTTCTTAATGAAAATTGTCACTGATTTGCAAAATTATATTTAATTTAATTTAGTAATTTACCCTAAAAAAATTCCTGGAAAATAATTTTGAAAACTGGTACGTTATTTTTATCATTTAGTGATGACTGCTTTGAATATTATTTAAAGTTATTCTCCTACAGTAGAGGCACAGTGCCTTAATATTTGTTATTATAAACAGATTTCCTAAAGCACTATTTCAGTAAATGTAACAACAAAAGTATTAAAGCTTTTGATGAAATTAAACCTATTATTTCTATTTGATCGTTAAACATTAATGTTTTATTTTTTCATTAACGAAGAAACATATAACCGTGTGCCATGTTAGGGGCTAACGTTTCATTTGTTATTTTATACCTGTTATCGTAGACGTCGTGAACTCGCGTAATCAGAATATCGAAGTCCTTAATCTGCTCCGTTGTATTTTGATAAAATTCCTTCCATTCCGGATTAGTCCACGTCAAAGAGACGATTCCAACTTCCAATAAACTCGCAACGCGTACCAAATGCGGTAACAAAAGCGGCCTGACTTCTAGTTTCACTCGTCTCGCCGTGGACACGAAATTGTCGATCATCAACTGAAGGGAGTCCGTGATCAAAGTGAAATGATCTTTCTTCGCCAAAAGCGTCAGCGCCACGATTGGAATTTCTAGATTCAGCTTGGCCAAACAGTCAGCTTCCCGAAGCAAAAGAGTTACACGTCCATCCAAGTTCACCTTAATTTTATCCGTTTTTTCGTCAATTACCAGCAGAAACCTAATCATTATATACGTGATTCAGAATAATAATGGTTTAACTCCCATTTCTGAGTTCTCGAGAAAGAGAAGCTTTGTGAAATCGTTTTGATTTAATGAAGTAATAATACTGCAATTACTAATAGTAATAATTTATGAGAATTAATATTATTAATAGCATTGCGATGCGAGTATTTAATTAATCCAAGAACATTTCACAAAAGCAGTTTTTGTTTAGGGAACTCAGAAATAATAGTCCACTACTATGTACATAGGAGACCACCATTATTTAGAGACATTCATATTGAAAGTATATATTGGAATCGATTGTAAAGAAAGATGATAATTGAGTTACCGTTTTAAGGAATCTTCGATTGCCCAAGAATTTTGATGTGTCCATACTTCAGCGATATCTGACTTATACTGGTTTAAAACACTGAGAGCGTGATTGTACCGTTTCTCCAATTCGATTGTTAATGGCAGATTTTTTAGCACAGGGTGGCTGAAGACTGACGCTGCCAATTCGTCAAGATGAACTCTATAAACAGAAGAACAAAGAAAGCGCAAATTCGATATTAGATATAGAAAGGTTAAGAAGAATTATTTAAAAATTGACCATTCATTAAATCAGTTTTGTATCACTTTCATAACAAACGTTGCAAATAATGAAAATAATCAATATCTAAATATCTTATTGCTTGTTTTCATTTCATTTTTAATTTTAGATACTTCGGTATACGTAAACAATATATTTGATTTAAGTACTTAAAGTTAATAATGAAATGAGAAAAAGTAGTAAAATACTTAGATATTGGAATACTTGATTATTTTTATTATATGAAACATTTATTGTGCAATTAAACAGCATTAATGTGATATTTACAGTTTATACGTATATAATCTGAAAATGTACGTAAATAATAATATGTTTACATGAAAAATTGATATAGAAAAGGAAAGAAAGTGAAAATCTTTTTAGTTAAATAACTATGTACAATAACAATATACTTAAACATTTACTTACTTGAGTGAATTGCTCCAAGTCAATCTTCCAGCGATTGCTGGCATGTGTCTAGGTAATGGAGGATCGTCTCTTTGTTTTTTGAACAGTTTTAATATCCGATCTATTTCTTTGTCGCAATATTTCACCACGATAATATACTTTTCATCGAGTTTCGTTAGCGGTATTTTCTCGCTGACCTTTAGGGCAAGAAATAATTTTAAACACGCATTCAACCTACTTTCTTAAAATTATCGCTGATAAAATACTTGTGCAGTAATTCTAATGTTAATGTTGTTAAATATTAATAAAACTGTTCAATATTATTTTATTATAACACGATACTTCACTTTCTCAAATCGAGTTAAGAATCGTATACCCTGTGGCGTTTCCCAAACATCAGCATAATTTTTCACAATGATACTACCGATATTTTGTTTTAGAGCGTCGGTCTTAGTGATGAAGTCGTCGTAATCGGTATCAAACACTGTATTCCTTGCATCCAAATAGTCGTACGATTTAGTGGTAGCAATTTTCTCAGCTTCCTGAAAAGTTCTTATCGCGTCGTCCAATGCTGTTCCAGTAAAAGAACCATACAAATACCTTAATCTCGCAAGAAAAGAAGATATCTTTTAAAATGATTCAGAATAATCTTGAAAATTAAACAGTGCCATACTTCAGTTTCAGAAGGAACTATTCGAGTTTCATGTACTTTTACAGTGTCCAAAAAATGTCAATGATCATTCTGAAGGAGCTATTTTTAACATGACTTAATCTCGAACTGTGAAAAGAAGGGATACCGAAATTATTATCATAAAATGCTTTTAATATGATGACCTTGGTCTTAATATTTAATAATAGGTAATCTAGAAACGTTGAATAAAACGCAAACCGAAATAATTTTCTTAAAATCAACTCACGTATCTGATAACAGAAATCAGTCTATTAATAGATACAGAATTGCTATAAGGTCCTTTTGTTTTCATTACTTCTGTTTCACATACCTTCTCCCAATAATAGGCCTTCCATTCGTCTTTCAAAGAGGTTCTTGTAATCTTGTATAAGCTCGAACATGGTCAAAATCTTTTTGATCCTGTCGCAGAACGAATCGAACCGTCCGAACACGTGAGTTTCTGAGAACGAGAACTCCTGTTCAGTTACAGCTGGTGAACAACGAACTAGCCTGTACGTTTCCCTGTAAGCTCTTTAAACACGTCGTCCTTTATCATTCTTTTCTGCTCGGGAAACAGACGAGTACGCTTGTCATCAAATTTTACCATTACTTGTTCAATCTTAAGCAATGCTTCAGCTTCGATCGGGCTGCCGCTCGATCTTGACCCCAGACGGTTTCGCGGCCTCGATTGGTGACGTAGTCCCTGCAGGCCACGATCATTTGGTTCGTGATCTTTATCATTAACGAGCTGGTTCGTTCAGAGGTATTGTAGTACCTCGATACACTGTATATTAGGCGAACTGTTTGTAACAATGAGACGAGGGAATCCCTCATCTTCACCTAATAATACGATACACAAATGTTAGCACCGAGTGCTACCTTTTACAAGAACAACTACCACGAGATTTACAAGTGCTAACTTTTACAAGAAAGATTATCACAAGATTTACAAAATTTCTTGATATACATTTCGTAATTTTCCGTCTTCGAATACTGTCCTCTATCTTTCGTGCAATAGCACCGCAAGAATAAAAACAAACAAAACTTGCCAAGAAGCATTTTCTAGAAATTTCTTTAATCGCGTTTTTCAGTAATCTTACCGGATCATCGAGGTACAAACAGTGACAGCATTTCTCCAAAGCTTGGATGAACTTCGCGTTGTCCTTGGCTTCGTTGTAGCAGTATGTGACTTCGTCCTCGATGTCAACCCAGGCCTTGATCAATTTCGAGCGTGCTACTTGAAGGCATAGCAGCGACATTTGTATTTCATGATCCTTCACAGAAGGGAAATGCGCATTTTACTTTTCGTTGTTAGCAACTCGGCGGATGAATAGAACGTAACAGTGGAACCTGCAGTTTATCGACGAGTTGACTGAACTGCGCTCCTCTTCGTTTCCAATACTCGAGCTCTTGTTGCGGCCCGGAATTGTCATTCTCCCGTTTCACCTGTTTACTTTCTGCCATGAAATCCTTTAGTCTCTTGATCCAGCTCTCCACTCTCTCTTCTATGATGTTCACTGCGTTCTCTTTCGCTACAAATGCTTTTGCTTCCTCGAAATTGCGCACCCCGAGCATCAACATTTCTGAGTCCTCGAATATGTGTCCCTCGTGAGCCACCTGTTCGCAGACTGTAACAAACGCGGAAATGTGCACCACGCATACGATACATTTAAGCGGAAACAGGCTATACTTTTTGTAAAAGGAGCTCCTATCGGTTAGTTCACTTTGGAATTTTTAACTCTTTGCGATCGGCATATTCTTCTGATGGCAGTACCAACTAGTTGAAGCAAATTTATATTTTTACAATTATTTTTCTATATGTGATTTGTAATATATACAGTGGCGTTCAAAAGTTCCGGCCATATCGTTTTTGGAATTGAGTTCATGCCATATCGACGTATTGCTGTCATTAATGCAAGGAGTATGGTGGTAATGAGAATAGGGACAAAAGAAGCGAATAGTGTTTCTGTTTGCAACGAAAGTTTCCGAAAATGCGTTGAGTAATAAGTAAATAAGTAGATAATAATCATTTATTATCAACTTTGAAGACATTGGTAAGTACAATACGAGCCTATGAGTTTGTTAAATTCTAATTGTCAATTCTAAACTGCGAATACTCAGGGTAATAAGTACAATAAATGAATGAAACAATTTTGAATTTGGTACGAATACCTTTCAAAGCACTGCAGAAAGATCTCAAACCAGGTAACAGAAGACTCTTGATCATTGGACAGTCATCCTCTCCTTCGGAGCCAGGGCGCGCAAGTGCATCCATAAAGACCCGTTCAACCACTCGCTGTATTGCTGTTATTATTCCTACTTTCTTCGTATCTATCACACCCGTGTACAGATCTTTCTGAAAGCCTTCTTCGGGCAACTGTTTCGAGATACTGATTCTAGAGAAAAATTTTCTTTCTAAACATATGTATATATTGCGCGAATACAGTGAATTAACGTTTTACGAATAAAAACTTCTAAGAATATGTGTTTTGAAAATGATGTAATTGTAATATATTTCTTGAAGCTGTTAAGTATTTATTGTGATGGTGATTTATAACTTGAGGCAAATCGTAAGTACCTTGAAAACAATTAACACAAAACGATGTGATGCACCATGTATATTTTTCAGTATATACACGGTGTCAAGGAATCGGCTGGCAAAACTTTAGTACCGCGTTCTACTATGCCTAAGAGTACGTTTACAGTAGAGTTGGGGTGATCGATAAAACTGGCGATGAGAATTGTAGAAATACATGTTCTATAATTATAATTATTAATATTAACCCTTTACACACGAAAGCTTTCCACTAAATATATTCAACATTTTCCGATAGACGATATTTTTTGAAACTAAGTAACAAGAAAACATACATAAATTCATAAGGAAGCTATTCTGTTTCAATATTGTACGCATTGAAGCATCACAGAAAATTGAATGTTATAAATAAGATTTTATAATTTTGTTATATCAAGTGGTGAATCACCTCTCGAGTGCAAAGGGTTAATAATTAATGGTATTTAATATCATTGTGTAATAACATTGCAATATTAGTGATTAATTAATCCAAGAACATCTCGCGAAAGCTGTTTTTTCTCGAGAACTCAAAAATAGGAGTTAGACCACTATTATTCTGAGCCACTCGTATGATGGACGGGATAATGAACGTGTGGACGCAGTAGATTTCACATTACCTGAACATATAAATGCATATTCCAGTGCATGGCACCTGCCATCCGTCAGTCAAGAAAAGTTTCTTTTTCGCCGGTTCCTTCGTCTCCTTCGTCTCCTTCACCTTTGGCGCTGGCGCGTTTGGACCTGACCTGGCACTTGAAACCTTCGTCTGTATCTGTGCAATCAAATTGCAAACATGTTTTCATGGTATTGGAGAGGTATTGTCCAGTTACAATCGTACGCTTGCATTTTAGTATTCAGTTGTATTGCGAGTAAAATTTAACGCGCGTTGCTCGTCTGATCGAACTTGCGTAAAATAATATAGAGTTACGATGCACGTTACAACGTAACATTTCCTTTTGTCACATGCATTTTTAGTTTGCAAATAGTCGACCGAGAAGTGAGAGGTTTACCGTAGACTTTTACACTGTAACGTCCGCCATTTTCAGTGTCTCTCCCCAGCCCGAATATAAATATAAGTGATTCATTCAAATAATTGGACACTTAAACCCTTAGCCTGTGACTTCCTTCTGAACTCTGATCGATTTGACTACTTTCTTATTAATAATTTATTGAAAATAAGAGAAAATTCCAGTCTTATTCTATGTCAATGTGTGTTCTAAAGTATAATCATTAGATGACAGAGGAATGATACGTAATTTACATTGAAACAAATTCAATAATATTTATGTTTGTTAAATTTTATTTGAAATCTTTAACAGGAGTCTGACACGATATTGTAGGGCAAGGTGTTCATTAAAAGTCCAATAAATAATTGACGTTCTGTATCTAATATTTACGTATGCGAAAAGAATATTCCTTTTATTGTAAACGATATTATTTCATTGCTCAGAATTAATTCCACTAAATAAACATTATTTTTTAACGATTTGATTATCTACTCTTTTCAATATATCGTTATTACTTGAAGCGTGATTTTCTAATATTTGCTTAAAGAATCCTTTAATTATTACAATCTCTAGCGGTCGTAGAGGTTCTGCTTCTTCCACTTCTTGATAGTACCAGACAAGGGTTGACCTCATGTGTGGCAAGAACAGTTGATTGATTTCGTCGAGCATATCACCCTCGAAAACGTGATCCATAACCTCGTGACGTGACAGTTGCGTCGCATCCATTAAAAGCTGGAAAGCGAATTCCAGCCGGGGATCCATCTCCCCACGCCTCGCTTTCCTTTCGCATTCTTCTCGTCGTTTCTTGGGAAAAAAGTTATGACAGTTATTAATCACATTTCTTCCTTAATTCTAAAGCTGCGGATGTGATTTTGCAATAAATGGCCATGCTCCCTTAATTGCAATCTTTGAACTTTATCACCGTCTTTACATCACGTTGCATTCCATTATATTACGATTATTAATCTTTTAGACAATCCAAGGTATTTAACTGAAATAGTTTATATAAATAGCAACCCTTATTTAATCCAAAAATTACTTTGAACGGATACTATAAGCTTACAGCAGTCAAAGAATTTATTTATACATCATACTGTATAGTTTAAAATCATTTTACAGTAGAAAACTAAAACTGAAACTTTGGTTTTATGTAAAAATGTACGTATATTAATTTAAGCAAAACATTTTCATTCGTTTATATAACAGTAAATAAACGTAAAAAGAAATTAACCATTTTCTAATATTTACTACAATTTTTAAAATACGGAGGATAGTGGAGTAACGTTTATCCCTATTCAAGGGATCTTTTCATCTTGACGCAAAAGTGGCAGTCATGGGTGATCACCGTGGTAGTCAAGGTGTTAATACAGAATAACTATTAATTTTTTTAATGATCCATGCATACCGGTAAGGGATAATTTCGTTGACCCGTAAAAGACATTTGACCGGAAGTAAGTGCTAAAATGGGTTCAGCAGAATCTTCTCTTTATCCTTTAAAGGTCAAATTTTCGAAGAGAAGATCACCAAAGTGGACCACCAAACACTGAGACAAACGAATGAAGAAGTAGTAAATGATCAACCTGCAGGACATCGCCGGTGCTTTCGTCATCGCTGTCCTCCTCTGAATTTTCCGACTTTTGCTGGACCAACAACGGCGGTGCTTGCACAAACATGCTCGAACGAATTCCACGGTGAAAGGGGAGATGGTTACTTTGGAAATGGACGGATGAACCGGCCGAAGGCGGGATTCACCGAGTATTTCGCTTACAAACTGAGAAGCCTTTAAGAGGGAGCAAAGTGGTGCAAGGGGAGAACACCCAGTGCCACGGGTTCGTGTCTGGTACCGCCCTTCTACGTATCGTTCGTGTCGTGTGGGAATTACCGCGCGATTTTACGGACAGCAGTCGATACCACACTGTGTGTACGTTCTTTTCTCACTGCTCTTTGCGGTGAAGGTGTCACAGGTTCGTGTCTCGCGAATTGAAGTTACAAGTAACAGTGCGTTCTTTTGTAGTGGCAGAACTTCGGGTTTTATGCATTGGTACATGATCGTACGAAGTGTGACATTGTCAAATTGGAGGCTTAATAACGGTTAAATAATAGTTCGTTGTCGGATTGAATAACGTTTGTCCACTATTACGAGTAACCAGTGTTTATTTTCTTGAAATTTAGTGCCTTGATTTGGAATTATCGATTATATATTTTCTAATGTTAGTAATTGATAGATTTTTATTGTTTGTTAGTTAACTCAGGACGTGCTGCATAGTTGATCTAGGTGAATAAAGTTCTCCTGCCGAAAGTAGAAACTATTTATCACTTTATTGAATGCATTTATTATTATTGTCGAATAAAAGGTGAATGTTTTTCATTGTGTGAATATTTCTATAATGTCTGATTTGGAAGTGAAGTTATTTTATAGTGATGATGATGTAGGTAAATGTTGTATAAATATTACATAAAGACTTGTGTCTAAGACCATAGTTTATTATTTATGAATTTGCATGACACCGTTTTATGTATAATAATGATTGCATAATGTATATTTTTTAATAGTTTTATAATCGCAGATTATAATCGATATTTCAAATTCGGTAGATAAAATGAACATTTACTTTGGAACACAAATTTCAAACTTCATATTGTTTTGTTTTCGTTAATTTTATACGTTTCATGAACACAAGAATAGTATGCACAAAATAGTTTGTAGAACAGTTTGCTTAGGTGCATCATATGTGTCGCTTGTGATTCCCTGTCCGATAATGGAATGTTATAAAAATAATATACATATGTAAATATAGATGCGAGTAGTTTAGCAAAGTCTAGCATAATTTAAAATATCATACAGTGATTGTAACATAGTTATTATATATTACTTAGTCACAAATTATAATACACACAGTGGTTCAAATCAATCAATTAATATAATTACTTAGTAATTTTTACTAGAAATTGAATTCTTTAGCAGACGTCAATTGGGCCATAATAACACGAATAAAATATACTTTTAATATACGATAAGCACGAGCATGAGATTCTCTCATGATTTACGAAACGTTTGCAAAACTTTGGTATTTTCAACTAAGTATAAGCTTTGTATTTTCGAATATCATGATACTTTTGTTTCTAACATTTCCATGTTAAAGAAATAGGTGTTTTACAAAGAGAATGCTAATGGATGAAGTACGTTCAGATAGGATCAACAAAAATCAACAAAATCTCGCAAGTATCTCATTAAAAAAGGAATTAATTGTTCAAACGTACTCTATATTTATATTAAACAATGAACACTAATTTTGTGTTATCTTCATCACTGGTAATAAAAAACACATATCGTGCCGTTCTGATGATTTAAAAAAAATTTTTTTCAGTCATATATTTTTATTATATAAAGGACTATGAACTGCTGTAACTTATTTACTCTACATTTATAGGAAATCTATTAAAGGCTGTCCCATTTTTTTAAAAGAATATTGACTTTCAATTTATATGCTTTTATACTTCTCAAAATGTCTAATAAACTACTCTAATTATTATCTTGGATACTTTTATAATATAATACATTCTGATATCATTTCTTCCATTCCTGTTTCATAAAGGAGCTAAAGAAGTTCGTACAATATACCAATATAGGTGTACTTTGATCAATACTAAAATAGACACTTCTCTTCATAAATCAAGTAAGAGATACATAAAATGGCACAACTATTCACAGGAGTTATTACCTCTATTTAGCTCGTTTAAAGCTTCATTTATATTATTCTCTTCGAAGCTTGCTTAAAGGAACAACAAATAAAAATATTACAAAGTAAAAAACCATGAAAAAGTGTAAATAATCAAACGAAAAGTGTGCCACAATTCGATCGTTTCCAAGCGAACCACCAAAATAACCAAACGATATCTACCAATCGCTTTTACACAAAAGTACCATTCATTACAGTGAATCTCTATAAACACGCGAATCATCAGACGATAGCTATACATGGAAACTACAAAAGCCTGTGCCGTTTCTACAGGGAAAATTACTTACCGAGCGATGCGTCGTTTCAATATGCAAATCACTTCGCTCGATGTCTCATGGACATGCACCGAATCAATTGATCGATCATAAAGCAATCCCATTTCGAGCTACCATACGAAAATAACGAGTTCCTTACATGCGGGGATAGAATGGACGATCCAGGCGTGTGTAAGATCGCAGATAAGCCCGAGGTCACGGAAACACGGAATTGCATAAAATTTCTAAACCGTTCAAACACTGGCGCCGGTTATCTTATCGAAATCTAAGGGCAGCGATCTGGGGGGATGGAACGCTGCCGATTTGTACATCATCCACGTGAAACGGTATGCCAGATTATCTACGATCTCCGCCAACAATTCAGCCCCTTTATCGGGCAATCGTATCGCTAAGTGGTGAACGTCTAATCGAAACGTGTGCGGCGTACCATGCAGAAACACCTCTGCATTCGCTTACTCTAGCCTCCTCGCTGGTCTCCGTCATTTCGACGTTTTTTTTTATCTTGCCCGGTACACACTGGAACAATCCACTTTCACGTGCAGTCCACGCCGTAATGCGACATTAACTCTGTTACCTAGTCTTTTAGCCAACAATCATCCTCCGTCCTTCTCCTACCCCTACCCCCTTTTGTTTCCGCGTAACCCCCGCGCCACTTAGCTTAACGACGTCTTAATAGATAAATAAGCTGGAATACGCGGGAATCCCGGTCGACGTCACGATAAAACGTCAACGCTCCGCGGGGAATATCCGGCGAGCCACGGGAAACCTGGCGAACGACGAAACCCGGCGAATTTATGATTGTCCTAGCCTTATCGAGCGAGGGACCATTATCGTGATAAGGAAACGAACGCGGGCAACTAATGCACGCCGGCACTGATTGGCCTGGCGGGGAGTCAAAAAGTTTCCCGCGAGCATCGACCGATGGACGATCACCAGCAGCCTGGAAGTACTGATTGATTTGCATAGAGGTAGTTACTTGCCTCTAAGTAAGGCGTCTCGTCGGGGAACGTTAACCCTTCACACTCGGGAGGCGAGTTTCAATTGATTCGATGCAGCGAAATTATAAAATTAGACGTTCGATGTTAAATATTCTATTATCCGTGGATACGTGACGTTGAAATGGGATAATTCTGTACTTTAATTTATGTATGGTTGTTCTTTATGCCGGGTTTGAGGAACGTCGGTCATGTTTCGTCAGGAATTGATGTATATTTAGAGTGAGAGAATTTGTCGCGTTTTGAGGGTTAGCTCTTTACACTCTGAAAGTATATTGATAGAAATATTAAATATTTTCTGATGAGATAGAGAATTCTTTTTGTTTGGATATTTTGTATATCGAGGTGTACACCAGAGGTGAGTGCGCGCGAGGCCAATCAGAGCCGCATGCCGGTGTTTCATATATTGTAAAAAGCCACAGCATATTAAACATGTTAAATTTTATAAAATTTCTATCGTCTTAAAATTATTGTGCGAGTAAAAGAAATTTGGAATAATAAAATCGGATTTCAATGGGAGCCGTGCTTAACTCGACTGAGAGCATTTGCTCTTCGTTGCATTATACAAAGTTTAATATTAAACATTAAATTCTATAATTTTGTAATTGTGTAAGTTTAATAATTATCCACTTACATAAAAACAGAGTATCATATAAAATGAAATTACTTATTTAATCTAGAAAAGAATTTCTTGTTAATTCAATCAGTTTTGCGATCACTCATATCGAGTAACGCCGAAGTGCGAAGGGACGGAAAATCAAATATTTTCCTACACTTTTCTGCGAAGATTACAAGGAAGTGTTCGCAGTGGCTGAAAAGGGAGTTTTTATATGACAGGGATAAATTCGTATCGATTAGTCTCCGAGAACAATGAAGATGGCTGGCAAGAATTCAAAAGTTTGCTACCAAGTACCCCTTTTTGTAGGAAACCGTTCGATGGAAGGGATTTTCGACTCTGTTCCAGTAACGTGGCAGCTACAAGGCGGACCAGCGGTCTATATCGACTAATGTCGGGGTATTGACTAATGGCTGCCGCGCCGAGTAAGTAGTACCAGTCCGTGTCAGGACAGGCAGAACCGAGACCAACAACAACGCTTCTTTCGCACCAATGTTTCCTTATCGGTACAGCAGAGCCTCGATTATTTGATTTAATTGCGCGACTAACAGTCTAGATGAATGAACATTTGAAAAGAAATTTTTTATAATATATTTGTAAAATTCGATCGAATATGTTTCGAGGTATCTGGCGATACGAATGATTAAGTTCTACTCTAATTAAGCTAAGATATTTTATTTGGATAATTACTGAGAAAAATATGATTCTTGAAAAATAGTCCAATTTTATCAAAAAATCACCCGAGTTACTTATACATTCCCAATAAATTAAACATCTGTTACACGTTTAAAAAAAATGGAAATGAAACGAATGTGATATCTTTAACCCACAACAGATTATTTAGCAATGAGTAACAAAATTTCGAGGAATAATTAGTTGTTCAAATGAATTAAGTAATGTATAATCGTTTGGAAATGATATTTGAATTAATAAAATAACTGAATTCAGTGTTTTTTGATTATTTCCATTTATATCATGTAAAAACGATCGAATATTTGATTGATTAGTGAAAACAACGATCTAGAATTAGCATAAACTATGCGTGTT